GTCTAAGTCAAATGTTAAATTTTAAAGATACCTGATTCTGTATTCTTTTTATATGTTCCTCTCATGAAAGGAATATTATTTTTAGATCTATTATTCAACTGTCAGTATTTCTTTTGTTTTTACTCACACATTTTTTTGGCTGTTCCTTTACAGTGGTATTCTGGAATGTGACATATAGACATTTTTTTGTGCATATATTTTGGTTTCTTTTCATTTTTAGACATACATAAAAAAGTCACTTTTACTGCATATCAACCTCAATGGGTTATTTAATGCCAACAAGATTTTTATTGCTGCTAATATTATTTTTTCAAAAATGTATTGCTGGTAATATTTTTTCCTTCAAAAATGTATTGCTGGTAATATTTTTTTCCTTCAAAAATGTATTGCTAATAATATTTTTTTCCTTCAAAAATGTATTGATAGTAATAATTTCTTCTTAAAAAATTCATTGCTGGTAATAATTTTTTACAAAAAATGTATTGTTGGTATTAAAACCTATTTTTATACTTTCATAGTGTTTTGACCCCAGTTTTGGGGTTAACTATTTGCCCATAGCAGGGACCCTAACAGGTTCTACCACCTCAGGTCAAGATGAACCTGGGAACACCAGCAAAATTAGTTCCATGCTCCTCAAAACATCCTGATCAGAACCCTTGCTGTTGGATGTAGTTTATCGTCTTACTCAGGATGCAGATGTAGTTTATCATCCTACCCAGGATGCGAATGTAGTTTATCATCTTACCCAGGACACTGAGCATATGACTTATCTTTGGTACTTCAAACATTATTTTTAGTGGATACCCGTATTTGAGTAAAACATCACATTTTTTAACAGTGATTATTTCATCTAACAGCCTATGTATTCTAGAAAACTTAATAAAAAAAAGAGTGCCCTCTGGCATGATTTGAACCTGCATCCCTCTTTATAGGAGTAACCACCATCTGATATCAGTATGCTTTAGACTCCTCAGCTAAAGAGAGCCTCACAAGGTTCTATTTGCCTTGAAGCACCTCCATCAGATTTTTTTCTAGAAAGCAATATTGCCTCAATTTTGGTATCTGTCATACCTGACGTACCTATTCTATTATTAATAGACTCTCCCACACATAATAAGTAATAGTAGTGGTCGCCAGTTGGGCTCAGTGGTGTTGAGTGAGTCTGTCGATGTCAGACATTGAAGTATCAACCATCACAACTAGATTGCTGTATCATTAACTCTTATTTCAAGTTCCTAACGTTTTGTACGTTGAACCTAATTTAGGACGACTTAGTGAAATACCAGCCTCCACTGTGAAAACTACTCTACAACAGTATCCAAAGTAAGCAAAAAGATTTCTAAAGAGTTAATGAATTCTTATTTTTAATCTAGCATATGAGTGTCGGCTGAAAAGTTTGTAGGCTGACTATTTACATATCAATTGGCCAGAGCGAATGATTTAATGGAATAACCAGTCACCCCCAATGAATGATTACACTATAGGTAGTAAGTACCTATAAAGTCAACTGTCTACAAAAGACTCGAAGAAGAATGAGAGTGAGAAGACGCAAGCACGTCCGACCTTCCAATTAGTGGCACTCACTACTAGATTGATCTATGTGTATAACTGTACCATATTTCATATTGTACTGGTTGTGTACAATAAACCTTTCTTCTAGTATCCACCTGGTGTTAAGTATTTATTCCCTTAGCATGGAATATAACGGCGAATAAAATGTCAATTGTTATCGTCTGTCATCTTAATTCTTTTTTTATCCTCTCTCCTTAATAACAATTTTTCTTATATAATAAATATTTTCTTATATTCTCTAACACTCTAACCCCTTGTGTGCTAGTGGCTTTATTGCCTTGAAATGAAAAAAAACAAAAAACAGGTAAGCTAAATGGGAATAACTGGGTCACATTCCTACATTAGATATAGATATCTCCATAAACAGGAAATATTTTAGTATTTTTTATAGTTTTGAGAAAGGTCGTTAACATTCAAATAGTTCTTCAGATGAAATAGCATTTTTTCTGATATAAATCAGATAAGGGAAGACCAAGAACAACAAAAAATATTTGCTGAATCTTTATTATTTACTCGTAGTGCATATTCTTTTTAATTTTATAATTAGGAACAAAAATTGTTTAATTTTTTGTCAAGACTGGCAATGTTAACCGTAACCCTAAAACTAAATTATATACAGTGGAATCAATCATATCCGAAATCCCACATATCCCCAGAATCCCACATATCCAGAATCCCATATATCCGGAATCCCATATATCCCCAGAATCCCACATATCCAGAATCCCTCATATTCCCAGAATCTCTCATATCTGGAATCCCACATATCCCCAGAATCCCACATATCCAGAATCCCTCATATCCCCAGAATCCCTCATATCTGGAATCCCTCATATCCGGAATCCCACATATCCCCAATCCCATATATCCGGAATCCCACATATCCCATAATCCCACATATCCAGAATCCCTCATATCTGGGATCCCACATATCCAGAATCCCTCATATCCAGGATCCCATATATCCCCAGAATCCCACATATCCAGAATCCCACATATCTGGAATCCCATATATCTGGAATCCCTCATATCCAGAATCCCACATATCTAGAATCCCTCATATCCGGAATCCCACATATCCAGAATCCCACATATCCAGAATCCCTCATATCCGGAATCCCGCATATCCAGAATCTTGCATATTCAGACATGATTTTGATGTCTATATTTGAACTATTTGGGTGATATGTAACTGATTTGAAATTTCTGTTTTTCAGGAAATTTACTTAGGATAATTGCTTATGCTCATTTCACCCTAATGGCTTGCATTGGTGCAAAAGATGATGGGAATAAGAGGAAAGGATGTTGAGACACATCTGCAACAAGATAGCGATGAGATGCATGATTGTGATGAAACCTGGACTGAAATTGAAAAAGCTATTAAAAAGGTTGTCAGTTTTATGGAAAGAAAGCCAGCATTCATTTATGATGATTACAATAATGCACACAGAATTAAAAAATGTCTTTCATTTAAAAAATTTCAAGAAAAAAGTAAAATGGAATGCAGAAAAAGTTGAGAATGACATTAGAAGAGAAAGAATCAACATGCAACAGCGATTAAAAAATCCTTGTTACATTATTTGTTTTGCATACATGACATACTTAATTTAATGAATTTTCATTAACATTACATCATTTATTTCTTTTTCCTTAAAATCAATTCCGTTATATTTTACTTGCCATTAGCTTATTTTGTTAACTGTAAAACATTGAAAATAAATGTTAAACCTGATTTTGGTTCTTTTAATTTAATCTAAATATAACCCCTCATATCATGACTTTGTAACCAATTCCTCATATCCAGTTGTCAGGGATATAGTTTTCAACGGTCAAATTTGCTTTCATTTTTTCTTTTAATACAGCAGTCACCACATAAGTCAATGTTATTTTTTACCTCCCTTTGGTATTTTTGGTACAAATCACAAAATAAGACTCAAGCACTACGTAAAAAAAAAAAAAAACATTTATTACACAATTACAAAAAAGGTACAAATGCGAAATTTGCCCCAAAAATCTTCTTCTGTGTGCCTATTATGGCAGGATAACAATTTCAGATAAAAAAAGATTAGCATCAAAAAGTGGAAAAAATTACAGTTGGGAAAAAGACAAGTATTTTGAAAAAGACAAAAAGAGAAAACAATTCAAGAAGGCAGAAAAAAAGTTGGAACCACCTTTGAAAAAAAAAAAAAAGAAAACACCTACTTTTACTTGCCCCAGAATGACATACAGAAATTTTAGAAAAGTCCCTTTTAAATTCACACTGTTCATGTTTGGGAAAAAATCTTTAAGTTCTTTTTTGTTCTTTGTTGTCCAATGACAGGAGAATTTTCACTTGAACTTCAAAATGCTTTGGTGTCTCTGTAGCTGGCTGGTAACTGATGTTTTCTTGATTGATGTCAAATGCCTTCAGCTCCTTGATGTTGATTTGCCTTGTCCTCCTGCTGTCAAAAAGTCTTCTCTCCACATCTACTGACCTGAGCTCTATATATTTGGAAAATTAGGCTCACAAGGTCCCTCATTCGGGTTGTTACTAGAGTTAGATACCACATTTTTCATTGGTTAATATATACAAAAAAATAATTTTCCATAAACTTGAAACGGATCCTTCACAATTTTGGTGGTTTGTAACTGCTGAGTCAAAAAAGATTGTAGACGACCGTGGCTGTAATGTTGTTGAGTAGACGTAGAAGAAACACATGTGGGTTCAGATTTTCCTGCTAGCCGGCCCAACTACATGAAAGGGTTGGACTTGAATTAAGTCCAAAGAAGAAGGCAAAGAAAAAACAAACACAAGACCGATAATATATGTATACAAATATATATTAATAACAAGTTACACGAAAACAGTTACAAAGGACAAAGTGTGTGTGAATATTATATATGTGTGTGTGTGTGTGTGTGTTAGCGCTCCAGCATTTGGGAAACGCTATCCCTTGTTAGCGCCTACATTTCAAGGTTGTAAGCTGAAAGCCTGAGGAAAAAGAGAGATTTACCTCCAGGTGTCGACGCGAAGGCCTGAGAGAGAAAGAGAAAGAGAAAGAGACGAAGGGTCAGCAGCTTTTTATAGCAGCGAAGAAAGACCCCTGGTGAAAGGGTTAACGAACTAAAGGAGGAGTTAACTCAGACAAGATATGCAAGTGTAACAATTTTTTACACAGACCGTCTGACCTTCATAAAAATACACTTCTTTCAAAAGAACATGTACTAAAAAAACAACCTAGACTATTAAACATTTAGTCAAGACTAACATTTTTAAAAGTAGTAAAATGAATTTTTTATACTTCAGCCTGCAGGTACCTAGACTTCTGGTTTGGAACCGCTCTCTCAGAGAGTCTGTGAACTGCATGTTTAAGAATTTGTCTACAGAGTGTGTGGCTCTCTGGTTGGTAACCTTCCCTGTTCTACATTTTCATTTTCGGCAAGGCTTACAGTCACATCACATTGAAACACTGGTTTCCTGTATGATCCCTGGAGTTAAGCAACAGCAAGCTGGTCAGTACCTAGATGAGTGACCACTTGGGAATACCAGGTGCTGTAAGCTTGTATGTGCAGGTGGTATAATGGGTAATGGCTTGGAATTGTTAATCAGAGAACTGAGTTCCAATTCTTGTTAGGTTTGTTATATTCACTTACGTGCAAATACCCTTAGGAAAGGTATGTATTCACCTCTTCTCCCCCCAGCTATGGGTTAATTAGCAGGACTTGTTTCACTAAACCATTGTTATCTCTCCCACAAAAATTCTTACAATCTAAAAATATTTCCTGGCTTTAAGTTACTTACAAAGAGTTGATAAATCGTACAGTTGGTAATCCTAAAACTGAGCCTTATTATGCTAATAAAAGATAGTGTTGTAAGCCAAGCTTAGAAAATAACATTTGAAGTCTTGTGAAACAACTATGACCGAACTTCACTGGGTGCTCAATACTTAAAGCCATGTGCCAGACTGAAAGGTAAGATTAATAACTTGTGTCAATTTAGAATAGATTTTTTTGGTTTTTATTCCTTATCTGTGAGGAAACAAATTTAAAACAATTAGCAATATAACACTTAAAAAAAATTGTCTAAATCATAGAAACACTGAGTACAAGATGGCTATACTGAGATTGAAGCTAAGTCCTGTTGTCAACCTTAGTGAATTGATCGTTTCTCGATTATTTTTTTATGGGAACAAGCTTCACCGAACCGGGACCGGAGTTAAACATTATGGACTAAAAAATACTAGCGTTCGTCGTTCTTTTTTTTTTTATACATAAAGTAACAAAGCCGGCATATGTACTCTTCTCTTAGACTGTCTTTATTTTCTTAGCCTGGACACGCGAGTGAACTAAGTAAAACGTAAGTAAAAAGTAATAAAAAAAAAAGAACAAATATACACGAAAAAAGTGAGGGAAAGGAAGAAATGTTGGTTTCATCGGGATGGGGTCACAGCCTCGTTTCTGTTGCTGACCTCTAGCGCCTCTCTTCCATTTTACTCCACATTCAACATGGCGGCTACCAGTACGGCCGCACGAGTTTGTGAAACACCTGGTTGCAACACCGAAGCCCGGCTTCAATGCCCCACCTGTATAAAACTCGGCATTGTAGGCTCTTATTTCTGTAATCAGGTTGGTTTCACCTTTCTCCTGACAATTACATTACCCCCCCTTTTTTTCTAGTCCATTTTTGGTTCCTTAATTTTCTTTTCCCCTCCAAGGTTTGTCATGCAGCCTTTTTATCGAGATAAAATATATATTTTTAGTAGGTCCAGTTGTTAAGAAAATAATTTATATATACATTTTCTTGATTAATTTTTTGTGCTTATTTTTTTTTTTTTTTTACGTGTGATCTTTGATGTATTTTTTTTTTTTTTTAACCAATTATTATTTAATAAAAAAAATAAATTGTATTCATGAAAGAACTTATCTCGGAAATTACTTTTTAGAGAAATTGTCTTCTCTTTTTACGGGAAATCCAATTCCGTTTTTCCTCTTTTTTTTTTTCTTTTAATTTCATTTTTATTATTATTCTTTTCTGTTTGATCATTTCAAAATTTATTTCACTCCCATAAGTTTGTCAGATTAAAAAGACTTTTGCTTGCGTTAGCTTTTTTTTTCCTCCATCCCAGTTCTTTTTAAAACTAAAAATATTTCTTTCTCTCATATATTCCACACAATTAGACGTGGATAAATTTAAAAAAAAAAATGAACAAAAAAATATAAAATGAATTAATTATTCAATAAAATGCACACTGCAGAGAAGGCAAGTGTATATGGGAGTCACGTGATCAAGCAGTCGTAAAACGTACTGAAGACAAGTAATCCATTTAAATTTAATTTAATAAAATACTTTTTTTTTTTTTTTTTTTCAAGTTTTTTTTTATCTCTTGGGATTTTGAATTTATTTCTAATATCGCAACGAACAGAGACAAATGGTTGTTGCTGTCAAGAAGTTTCAAATTATTCAAGTAAGAAGACTAAGAAAAACTCAGGGGTGTCGTGTAAATGAACAAAAAACATATCCCATTACATATCTTCCTATATAAGGGCGCATGCAGACCCCAGATTTTTTTTTGTATCTACTAAAAAATGAAAAAAAAATAGCTGAAATAATTTCTGGTTATTGATTGATTGAAAAAGAAAATGTTCATATCCTGAATATTAAAAAAAAAAATTGACTTTTTTTTTTTTTTTTTTTTACAAACTTTAAAAAAAAAAAAAATATGCACGCCAATTCTTACAAATCTGCCTAAAGATTTTGGTTTATTTTCAGTACTTATTACGATAAAATGTCATCTTTTTGTCATTACATTTTTAAGAAATCAAGGTTTTATGTTCAATGGTAATGACAAATATTGAATACTAATTATTATCAGTCATTTATTTTGGGTTTGGGGTTAATTTTCATCAACTAAACCCCTATTCGTGTGTGTGTGTGTGTGTAACAGGAGACTGCTTTTATTCTCAGCCCGACTAAGAATCGAAGACTCTCCCCCCTTTATTTTATTATTTTTTTTTTGTGGTTTCATCAATTTGACAATCGACTTTAAAAAAAAATTGACTTGATATCGTTAAAAAAAAAAGTATGTATTAAAAACTAAAAAGTCATGTCAACTCAACAATATGAGTCTTGGTAAAAATATAAAACAAAAACCATACCATCACTTATAGTTATTATTATTTTAGCTTTAAAAATAAAAGTAAAAACTACTTCGGAGTTTGAAAAATACCAATTCCAAATAATTTTAGTTATAATTTTTGGCATTTGAAAAAAAAAGATTGATCAATGGACATCGGACTCGAAAGAGAAAGAAACTTGTCACAAAAAAAACAAAAAAATGGTTTCACGTGTGATTTATTGAGTTTCGTGTTTAGTAGGAATAATAAAGAAGCACCGGGAACTTTTGCACATACCAAATATTTTAATTGCTTTTTATTTATATAATTATCTTAAAAAGCTTTATGAGGCATGACAAATAACAAACATCAATTTGGTAAATTGGGTTCGGGTTTTTTTTTTTTTTTTTTTTACGGATCATAAATTTCAAAGTGCAAATTCAAAAATAAAAACAACTTCTGTATCTCAAACAAACAAAGCATTGTTTCTAAAAAAAAAAATACAGTCAACAGTATCACTTTTTAAACACTACCATTATTAACCTGTATTGTTTTTCTTTAAAAAAATTATTGTAAATGTAATCATAATGTAAACCTTTTAGTTTTAAGTTACTTTTTTTTTTACTTTTACAACAAGAGCCTTTTTAGTTTTTATTATAGACAATCTCCATTTTGTAAAAAGACAAAATACACAAAAGAAAAATCTCTTAATTATTTTTAATACAAAACAAAAACATAATTTTATTTTTAACAATGCAGAATAATTCTGAATGTTTTGAATTTTTAAAAGGCATTTTACGATACACAATATGATTATTTTAAATGATTTCGAGTATTTTTAGCTCCAGGGGAAATTAAGTCAGTCTTTATTTTAATTAATTGTCTGAAGTCATTTTCTGTCTAATTAAGACTTCCTTCGTTGTAGTTTTTAATAACTGCTACTAAACACACACACACAAAAAGACACTTTTTTGTCTAGAATACCTTTTTCTTTCACTCATGAGATTAAAAAATAGTTAAAGAAAAAGGAATTAGACATTTTCAGTCCTTTTATTACATTTTTTTCTTTTTAATTCAGCGTACAAATTTTTCAGTTCCCATGTGTAAAAAAAAAAAAAACGACAGTCTTAAAGTAATACGGATTAAATCTGACAATTATTTAATTTTCTGCTTATATTTTATTTTAATAGATACAATTTATTTAAGTAAATAAATGCTCTGTTTTTTTTGTTTTTTTTTAATAAACGGTATTGATTACACTTACCAGCTTGAATGTTCAAGAGATTTTGTAGAAAATATGTTCTCTGACAGGCAGTAATTCGGACTTTGCTAACGATCCAATCACATTGAAACACAACTTCCCATACAATCACTGAAGTTAAGCAATGTCATGCCGGTCAGTACCGAGATGGGTGATCTCTTGGGAATACCAGGTGCTGTAAGCTTGAATGTATGTACAGGTGGTATAATGGACAATGGCTTGGAATTGTTAATTGGAGAGCCACGTTCCAATTCCTGTTGGGTTTATGTTCGCTTATGTACAAATACTCTTGAGAATGGTATGAATTCATCTCTTCTCCCCATCAAGCTATGGGTTAATTAGTAAGGCTTGTATCACTAAAGTATTATCCCCCCCCCAATTCTTACAATATAAAGAAATTCTGGCTTTAAATAACCTGCAGAGGGTTGATAAGCTGCAGAAAATGAATCAAGAATTTTGGGGGGCATGTGGAAAATCAACATCTTCATTTTTCTTTCTAGTTACATGTGTTATCCATTTTTGTTGTTGCCATTGGAAGTGTTCAAATGATGTGGTTTTTGTTATTTGATAAAGATTTTTGTGGTATCAGGATCTGATGAAGTATTGTCTTCTTTTTAAACCTAAAGGGTTCATTTGCTTGAAGCCATTTATAATCATCTATCTGAGAAAATAGTTGAATACAGATGATAGTTTGAACATTTCTGAACAAGTTGGATGTCATGCATGACATCCACATGAGAGTCTAGATCTGATGAGGCTAACAACATGAATTGAGTTTTCAGGTTAAAATCTTGGGTTTTTTGCTTTATGTATTATATTTCTATAAATTCTTTAATTTTGTTTCTTTAATTGCTACCAATTGCTATAACATTTCAGTTTCTGCAGACCCCAGCCTTTTATATATATATATATATATATGGGATGTTGTATTGGTACTATTATGCTTTTCTTTCAAACTATCATTATCATCAATATGTACTTACTTTCTCAGCCTTCTGTCCTTGTCTGGATTTTTATCATAAAATTTTGAACCTCCTTCACGTTTAAAGCTCTGAGTTAATATACTTAAATTGTCTTGTAGGATGCAGGTCCCAGTTGATAAAAGCAAACATTAATTAACTTTCACTGCTGTATTGGCCTATGGTGAAATCACTCTGAAAACATGGGTTCCCATTCAATCACAATGAGCCCAATCAGTACTCCTATGGGGGACTGCTTGGGAACACTGGGTCCTGTAAGCAACCCGCAACAATTTAAAATGTTATATTTTTAAATAATCCATAAAAGTTTGATAAGTTTTTTTAAAAAAAGAAAAGAAAGGAAAACAAACCTGTGCTGCATAGTTATAGTATTGCTGCCTGGCTGTACTGGCCCATTTTGAACAAAGTAGGAAATTATCATTTATAGGGAATCAATGACTTTAAAGACACTGATGGCAATTTCTCATGGGTGCCACCATTATTGTTTCAATTGGATACTCTGCAATACAGAATAAGCTAAATGACACCAGCAATACAGTAACAGATATGTCACAAAACAGGTCATATTATACACTAACTTTGTCTATGCTGATTTAGAAATGGCACAAAGCATTAGTTAGTTAATAACACAGATGCTAGACCAACATTTCATTGTGTCTTGAAAAATGTATATATACATCAACAGCAGGCAAGTAAGTTCCATAAAAATATAAGTGAATCAAAGTGCCTGTCAGTTCAGTTATTTACTCACATAGTGTAAGAAGTTCCTTCATTGGAAAAGGTAGGCAAGTGATACCACAAAGATGAATTAACTGATATATGTGATATGAGCTTTTAGGATGTAGAGTGGATAAGTTCAGTTCAAAATTCTTGGCAGGTTGCCCACTGTGTCAGACACCTGAAGAGGGTTCAATGCTGCAACAGCTGATATGTTGGGATGATATAAGTGAAATGAAGACACCAGCCTGAGCAAGTCTGTGTAAATCACAAAAAATTTCTTTGTTGTCTTATCAATTTTAAACCAAACTATATATGACAAAGATTCTAATTAGAAAAGTACATGCCTTAAGTTTAAAACTTCACTATTTGACTGTCCTAGGAAATAAAGCTAACCTGTTCCCTCAGAAGCAGATAAGTTTGTTTTTTATCTTTGTGATAGGCAGTGTAGTAGTCTACCTGTACACTTGATCAGTGAGGCCAATCAGCAACATTAAGAAAGACTTCATGGTTACAGGCTTTGAACTTAGCTGTGGAATCTGTTAGAATGGTAACAACATATAGCCCAAATTACGTGTTCTGTCTGGTATTTCCCTGGAAGGATGCTGGATATGACTGGTATAGGGAATAGCACATGGCCCACTAGACTAAATGTTTTGTTTAGCCTTCCTATTGGAAGTGTGCTGGGTAAGAAAGGTAAAGGAATGTGAGCAACAAAACTGGATGCATCCTTCCAACTAAGCTAATTAGCTAAATGGTTAAAATAATGGGATGTGTTTGAAGAGGGTTGTCAGAATAGTATCCTTAAAAATGAGATCATGTATGACTTTTTGCTGAGGATTAGATTATTTATTCTGACTAGGATCAGTGTTGTATCTGTGCACTCTGTTTACAGCATTACCTAAAAATGAAATAAACAGTTGAAATTAACTAAAGTCTAATTTCTATAATGATACAGTTAAAATTCAAGCATTTTAATAAGAATTGCATTTTATCTTGCTAATGTGAATCTTTTTTTCTGATTCTACTGCTGCTCCATTTAAAAAATACAGTAAATAAAGTTTCTTTAAATTTGCCATACATGCGTGTGTGTGTGTAAAATATAATTATAAGGTATGCTATATTTATGAGTTAAAGTGCTTGATATCAGGTGTCTAGCATATGTAAACAAAATCACATCAAAAAAAAAAAATATGGAAAATAAGAAAAACACCATCAGCATACAATAATAAATCCAAAAACTGTAAACTCTATAATCACCTTCCCAGATCAACACAAATTACTAAATAAATGATCAGAACTCTTCTCAAAATGCAGAATAATCGAGAATAATTTGAAAAATAACTTTTCCCAACCAAACAATAATCATTAGAATAATACAATAGACTTACTGATAATGCGACACTGGCCTGCATATATACAGGGTGCGATGGGTAAATTGTCGCTGTTTTATATTTTTAATTTCATGCCTGTTTGTTTTTGATTTTATTAGATGCACAATATAGTAGGGTCAGTTGGGCACCGTCTGTGAGAAAAAGAGTACCATGACGCAATTCACTCTGTCAGAAATTTAGAAACGGCATACTGTGCTGCTTGGTATTCACGCCAGAAGCTCTAATATGAACATTTCTGAGTGTTTGGGTGTCAATCTGAGGACAGTGTAGAAGATTCAGAAAGAGTTGGATGAGTCTAATGGTGATTACAAAGGTACAGCAGCTTGCTAAACTCATTCTGATTGTTCTGATGAGAAAAGGATTCCCAAATTTGTTGGTGTGATCCAGACCATGATTGACAGCAATCCCTTCAAGTCAACCTGGTCTGTACCCAGGGACACAAGAGTTTCTTTTCAGGCAGGTAGTACATGGAGACATTCAGTATTTCTCATACAAAATGAGAAAGGGCCAAATTTTCTCAAGCCATGAAAGACAAGAGGAAAGATTGTACTATGAAGCTTTTGAAAAAAACTCAAGCATGTCCTCCAACCAAACATGATTTGGATTTTCTCAGACAAGAAAATTTTTTGCCATAATTACATGGTGAACAAACCATTAAACCATTGGCTTGCTGTGTCCCCAAAAGATATACTGAGAGTGATGAAAACCAAATATCCAGTCAACATCATGGTGTTTAAAGTGATCACTAGTGATGCTGACATTATGCCTCCATTCATCTTCCCACAGGTCCTCAGACTCAACATGGAGGTCTATATCAAGTGCCTTGAGGAGATAGTGCTGCACTGGGTTAAGAGAGTGGCTACTGGAAGACCCTATGTCTGGCAACAGGACTCTGCACCATGCCACATAAGCAGGAGAACCTAGTCATGGCTGTCAGACAATTTCTGTGACCACATCACCCCCTTACATTTGGCCACCTAACTCCCCTGACTGCAACCCCCTTGATTATTATGTGTGGGGTGCAGTTGAGCAAGAAACCAACAAAAATCCTTGTAGCACCAAAGATGAACTGAAAGCAAGGATTATGGCAGCATTGACCAACTTAAACAAGTAGACTGTCCAGAAGAGTTGCAGGAGTTTCCAATGTCATCTGTGGGCTGTAGTTGAAACCAATGGCAAATTTATTGAATAAATTTACTCTTTAGTATTTCAAGATATTTTTGTGTAATTTTGGTAAATATATCTGTTCAAATGAGATGTCAGTGTTATTTTCATTTATTGCATAATTTAGACAACACCCTGTAAATAGTCAAGCCAAATCAGTGCACATGGCCTGATGATTATGCTTAAGCATGAAACACACTGTTCACTGCAATGTCCACTAAATAAATATATATATGGTAAAATGGTTTAGAATATAGGGAAAAAAAATAAACAAATGAAAATCTCCTTAAGAACTTCTGTTAGTCTTTAACCAAACTTGTATTCTGGTTTAAAAATGACAATTAGTTCTTGCTGACTCGTTTTGTCTTCCGACTTTATCAAGGCAAGCAATGAAAGTGAAATGTGTGTGTGTGTGTGTGTGTATATATATATATATATATATATATATATATATATATATATATATATATATATACACACACACACACATATGATTAATACAAGAAAAAATTAGTCACTTAGCTGATTGATGTCATATTCAGTACCTTGACTGTAGTTATATAGATGAACTTTTTTTTTTTTTTTTTAACTGTCCAATCCACTCTAAGAGTTCTCATCAATTGACAGTTGTTTTTCTCATTTTTCATTATCTTTATACTATACACACACACGCACACAGGATGGCCCAAAGATCATGCTGCTATTGGAAACTCTCATACTTATGAAACTGCAATTGGAGGAAATTTACATGACATCATCTTCCATAATTAAATCAATATTTACAAATGATATGCAAAAACATTAATTTATTTAATAATTATAAGACCTATAAATTTTCAATGATAAGTACTCTGTGTATGCATGCATAATAATAGAAATATATTAATATATGTAAAAATATATAATTCAATATATCACAAATCAAACAGAATTTCTGCCAATAAAGTGGTTAGTAAGCTATCTAGAGCAAAACTTATTGTATCAAAATTATTGAAAGTTCATGATACTCATCAGAGGTCAACATGTGAAAGTGGCAATTGTCGATGTAGTGCATATAATAAAGTGTTTATAGATAAAATATATATGAAATAGACCATTCCATTCTTGTCTGGTTCTGAAGGAGGAATTGCAAAACTCTTGAGTCTACCTCCATTAATTATTGTGAACTTTGATTTTTTTTTTTTTTTTTTTTTTTACATGTGTGTGGAGTTTACTGCTTGAGAAAATGATTGATTTTTCTCTTTTTTTTTTTTTTTTTTTTTTTTTTTTCCCCAAGCTGCAGGCATGACTTATATTTCTTATTTTTTCTTTTTTTTTTTTTTTTTTTTTTTTTTTAAATATATAGTAAAGAAGTGAATTTTCTTTTCCAGGAGTGTTTCAAAAGAAGTTGGGATGAGCATAAGAAACTACATAAGAAAGCCAGTAAGTATTTTATTATCTGTCTATATTTCTGAGATGAGGTATTAGGTACATTATTTACATTATTCAGACTATTGTCCTCATCTTTGTTGCCATATTTATTACAACATTTCGGCCATTGTACACTCCAGCCGTTGTATGCTCCAGCCTTCTTCAGGTGGTTGAAATGTTGAACTGAACCCTTTATTTCGCTCACTGGGGTAGACTGTTCTAGTTCACGTGCCATGTTTAATGGATGTCAGTTATCAGTTATCTCCTGTTAATTTTCCCTCTGAAAGTTCTCCACTGCCTTAACCGGGTATTCTTTGGATCCTGTCACTGGATCTAACCAACGCCTTTATCCACTGTGCCATGTGTCCTTGAGGACATCGAATTTCTGGGTATTATAAACCTAATGTCTTCAGCAACCATTTTTACCAGTGCTCATATTGCAATTTTTGCTGTTTTCATATCATGTTTTTACCAGAGCTCATATTGCAACTTTGTTGTTATTATCACTTTTCTCTGGCACTCCTTATTACTGGTTCCCATATTGTATTCATTTCTATGCTGATAATAACAAAGATGAGGACAATAGTCCAAATAATGTAAATAAAGTATTTTATTGTTTCTTTTATATTATTTCTATTATAATTGTTCTTGTCCCTCTTTTTGTTAGCACGGCTGTTATGCCCTCCCAATACCTCATAAATGAAATAGACCACTCCATTCTTGTTTGGTTCCATTTTGATAAAAAGATGCGGGAAAGACTCTATTTTCTTTCAGTGAAAAAATTAAAGGCAGGAAGATAGAAATGGAGAGAGAAAATTAGATTAAGCTGATAAGAACAGATACTACACTTTGATGTTAGCCAAAAGGCCAGGATTTAATGATGACTGATAGACCCGCCATTTTTTTAGATGCACAGTATCAAATAACAGATAACAAGTAAAGTAATGGCCAAAAATCATGTTACCATAAATAGAATAACATTGTCTGCTGAATTATTTTTAAATTGTTATTAAGACAATGCAATGGCGAAATCATTATTTGTGAGCTAAAAATAATCTGCAAAGTAATGAAGTGGGGAGTTTTGTTAGTTCTTTCTGTTATTGTAAAAACTATGTCTACATAGAAATGGGCAACTACTGTATTTCATCGCCCTCTCCACTATCTCTAATTTTACCCTCTGAATAATGAATCCAGGTAAAAAATTCACAGTAAAAAAGAAAGAAAAAAAAGACAAGTTTAGCACACAGCAAACAAAATTCCAGCCTCTTATCCAAAAGTGGACAAAATCCCAGTCTCCTAAATTAAAAATTCAAGGAACTTTTAATTCAAATTTTAAATTGAAACTTTCTTCACATAAAATTAGGTCTTATAGGATATTAGGACTCTCTAACTATATATTGAATACATGATTATAGCCTTGTTAGCAAATATTTTTTATGGCTTAATTTATTTTTGTATATGATCTCTGGGATTAGTTTACATTTTGGCTCAAACTTTAAAAAACACCCTTCTTAAGGCTTTCTTCAAATAATGTAGAGTTTTATGGGATATTAGGACTCCCTAACTATGAAATATATCAAATATATTATTGTAACATTTCTAGAAAACGTTTTTTTAGAGGTTGGATCAATTTACTATAAATTTCTGTTGCACACAGAGCAGAGCCATAAACTACAGAAATAGATGACTGTATTACTAGACACCAGAAATTAATTGTGACTTTTTTTTCTGACTGTATTACCAACCACATGAATAACAAGAAGAAAATCCTACTAATCATCATGAATTCATCACATACCAAATTTATGTTAACTATTTAAAATGTAATAATTAGAATAGAAATTAACTCTCATCACCAACCTTAGATTTATAGGACGCAGGTGGTTTTTAGAGAAATTTTATAGGAGAAAAAAGCAGATAATATAGAGATGCCTGTGACGTACATTCTCCAGGTAATAGTAAAGGATTAGAAACATTTTGTGTATATATGGATAAACATGTCAACTAATCCTTAGGGTATGGTACTGATTTTTCATTTCCCTCTCTCAGCACAAGTGTTGAGGTTAGATGAACACCTGTAATTCAATAGCCAGTCACCTGATTTGACTAGTAAATCAGTGTTTATTGTGTAGTAATCTGCCCTTTTGAATTTGACCAAACTCAGTAAAACCCTTGTAACTCAGACCAGAGTAAAAAAATCCACCACAAAATTTTGTACATAACTTGCCATAAAGGAGACAAACTTGTCAAATTTAAAAAAGAATTAAAGATGTCTTTTGAAAAATTAAAGGTCAAAGGTTATGGTCATAGTCAAATTATCTTATTTGACTGTTAAGCAAAAAAATAGATCACCTCTTAGATCTATCCAAATACTTTAAAGTTGTATTTAATTTAGCTTTGTAGGTGAAAAAACTATGGAGATATTGATATTTACTTTCCAGTAATTTCCTTCGATTTAAACTTTGTGACTATTTTCCAAAATTCACCTTTTTGGCAAGGGCCATATCTTGGGAACCCTTTCATCTAGAGAGGTAAATTAGGTACCATTCAGTTTCTCTCCTGAAGCTCTATAAGTGTACCAAATTTGAAAAAATTTGTGTCAGTGATGGTCAGACCCTTGTTGATTTGACATGGAATGACTCATAAATGTTATTTTTAGTGGGTACATGTGTTTGATAGCAACTCAAGCATGTACTCACTAAAAATGACGTTTACAGCAATAAGAAATGTTGGGTAAAAAAAAAAAATCCTTCTAAAAATTAATGTTGTTTACATTTCGGTTACAAAACTGAAGCTGTTAGATAGGTATTTGTTGAAATCCCAACCAGAATGTGCTTTCTTTAAATAGTTAATTCAAATTTTGCTCTGTCAGGCTAGTCTCCATGGCTGAACTAAGAGAGGCACACTTTGGCTCAAAAAGTGGTCTTCCTGATGGAAGAAAGGGATGTAGGTTTGATACCTGTCAGAGGCAGTATTTTTCTTTACTGGGTCTTTTCAATTTAGGTAGATTGTTGTTAATTTCACTGTTTAAGAAAAAAACAGGGATAGCAACTCAAACACTAAAAATGATGTTTATACTAATAAGAACTAATGTCAGACAAAAAAAAAAAACCTTTAAAACAATTACTACATCATGCAAACATGCATGCATGCATGCATGTGTGTGTGGACACTGAGGTCAACACCAAGCAGTGTCATTTTGCTTCATGCTTCAGAACAATCTTCAGGCCTGAACAATCTGTTGCTCCAAGTCTCTTTATCCATGAGGAAATTGTCAAGCATTCACTGCCATAGAGGATGATATTATATAACAATTTGTCACACTTTTCTTTGTTTCTAATGAAATTTTCTTGTTTCTTAATACTTTGTTTAGCTTTTGGAAGGCATCTTTTGCTATTGCAATGCTCCTTCAGATTTGTCACTTTTTTATCCTATTTGTTAAAGGGAAAGTAGCAAAGGGGCTTGAGCAGTTTTTGTCCTTAGTCCCGTATACTTGCATTTTAAATCTGGCTTTGTGACTCATTCCATTTGAGTGGGCATATGGATAGATATTTTCTTGTTACAAACTTTTGGAAATCTTTATCTAAATTTATGACATTGAGGTACTGTTATTAATTTGAGATATTTTCAAACTGGCATTTTCATCTTTGTTGTTTTTATTAAGTTTTATCTGATAAGCTTCCAAACTTTCTTTAGATGAAAATATTGTGTTCAGCTTCATCTAGTCCAGGATCTGAATGATAGAACATAGTGAGAATTGAACTTGTTACATTTAACCCTTTAGCACTCAACACACACAAAACCCGAACCAACATTTTGAATGCTAAAGGTTTGGTTTACATGAAGTGAACAGGCTTGTTTACTAAATTTATTAATGGCATCGTAAAGTTGCTTCACCATCATTGACCTTTTCTAAGTACCTTTTATATTTTCATATGCAAGATGCCTTAGCTTCTCAAAGCTTCCTATCATTTGTAGCCCTTAGCAATATTTGTCTTTTTTTTCTATCCTTCCCACTGGATGTGTGGATGGTGTAATGAAGAGCAGAGTTTGAATTCCGCCCAGCTTTATTACATTCACTTATGTGCAAATATCCTTCATAAAGTATGAAGCAATTGCCTCCCCCCAGCTATGGGTTAAATAGTCAGATTTGTATCTAGGTGAAAAAACATTATTCTCAAAAAATTGTTAATGCAGTATTCACTTGGAGAGGGAAAAAAATATTCTTACAATTTATATAATAAATGCAAATGTCACTGTGTCACACTTTTTTAACTTTACTCCATGAGGCCGTAACCCAACATATCATTCCATTTTGGAATCAGGCCAATGGTAGAGCAAATTAAAAACATTCTAGACTGGATCCGGATCCGCAATCCTGAAATTTTGGATTCTCAAGTTTTCAATCAAGATGATTTTTTGTGACAAATATTTTTTGTACAATAGCCATTTTTATAAGTTGGAAATAAATTTTGGAATAATTGAAATTAATTGCAAAATCCAGCCTTGAAAAAAAAAATTACTTGTATGGAAAGTAAAGACCTACATACATCAAATTATCTTTAAATTAAGTGGCAGCAGAAGAATTATCATTGAAAAAAGGTAATCTTAAATATTAATGCAATACTTTACAACAATCAATTTTGAAATCAACTCCTCCCTAATTGTGATGAAGGCCCAATAAGAGCCCTCCAAAAAAAAACAAATCTAAAAACACACAACTTTTAAATAACTCACAAAGGGTTGATAAGCCATAAAAAAAAAACAAATCAATCACACTATTTTGCCATTCATTTACACAAGTTAATTCAGTAGGTTACTCACTATTTCCCTCTGACCCTTCAGGACATGAACGATTATGGCTCTTGACAACTTCCTATGCTTTACAACACTGAGCAGTGTTTGTCTTTTTTACTATCCCTGTTGTGCCTAAGCTTGTCAAGTAATCTTTTATACACAGGCATTTATTTCATCAAGGGAGGTAATTCTTTTCTATTAATCTAGCTTTATAATGTTAACTTGTATACTTATTTTCATATAGGCCATTTTTAATTATTTAAAAAAAAAATTCTTGATGAAATGTTAGTTTGCATTCCTGATTAAAATAACAAAAATAAAGGTGTCAGTTTGTGAAGCAACCATTAAATAATAACAATGTCTGAATTTCTGACTTAAAAAGGAAAAAAAAAAAAAACATTCTCTATTCTTGCCGGCCTCTTTTCTAATATCTTTAGCTCAGGATAGTTGACATCAATTCTGATTTTATTTCACTCTTTTGAATTCTTTTTATATTGAGGTTTAAGAATTGAAAGGCACACAGATGAAAAGTGTAGTGTGTATCTTGTTTCAATTTTTACATTTTTTAAAAAAAATTTTATTTATTTTTTCAGAAGAAAAGAATATGGCAGGGTTGTATAACCCCTGGCCTGATTATAGGTTCACTGGTTCTCTCCGGCCATCTCAGCAGGTAAGTCATTTGATGAAATATCTAGAAAGTAGACATTTCAAAAATGGTAAATGATAGTACATCTCATTTTGTGCTAGATAAAAGTTGTTAAAATTTCTCTTTAAACAACTTTTGTCTAGCACAAAACAAGGTGAATCTTAAGTTTTATTTAGAAAAAAAAAAGTGGATTGAAAAAAAAAATTTTAAAGTTATTTAAGAAATGGCCATCAACAGAAGCAGACTTTAAAAAAAAAATAAGTTAGTTTATGTTAATTAGTTTTAGTAAACTGCATGGCATTCTTTATTTCAGGTCAAGTCATAATATAACTGAAGACAAGAACTGGAGGACTATTTCAAACTTTGAATATTTTTAGTTTCAGTTTGGGTTTGTGGTAGTCAGCTTAAGAAATTCAAAGAAAAAAAAAACTGAAGGTTAACCCTTTGAACCCTGTGTTCCTGAATAATTTTAGCCCTTTCTGCCTGAGCTCCTGAGTCAAAATTCACAAATAATTGGTGTGTAATATTTCACAGTAAATATAAAAATAGTTACAAGTGTTTACCTACCATTCAGTCGGTAGCTGAGCATTATGTCATTTTTCTCTACCACTGGTAAAGTGGTGCTCAGGGCTCAAAGGGTTACAAGCATAATAAATTTTGTCATAAATATACTTCTATGATTAGAAACATGTTTAGAAAAAAATTGCATGATTTAGTCTTTTTTTTTTTTAACATTTCACCCCAGCACACGAGGGGTTACAGAGAGTGGGAGCGAGAGTAAAGAGGTGTGATAGAGGAAAGGATGAAGAGAAGGACAGGGAATAGATCAAGGCATCTGGAGATATCAATTGATATTTCATTTGAATATTTGGAGATTATAGCTATCAGACAAGCAAGTAAGAGGAAGGGAGTTCCACATATCGGAAGTGTGAGACATGAAGCTATTGGAGTAAAAGAGACGGCTACATTTAACTATTTTGACAAGGAAAGGGTGGGACTGAGATACCTTCCTAGTAGCATGTTTAAAATTATGCAGTTGGGGAATGAGCGAAAGTAGCTCGTCAAAGCAGTTACCGTGAAAGTATTTGTAGAAAAGACTTTTTTAGAATAAACATTTCCTCCACATCATTTGTGATATCTAAAAATATTGGATTAAATTTATTGGATTTAATTATTTGATATTACTTTACATAACATTCTTAATAAAAGATGTTTCATTATTTGTGTCGTATAAAACTTTGTTTACTTATATTTTATGTTTTTTAAGGGTAAACTAAACTAAAATTCAGCATACTTCTTTAATTTCTCCTCAGTGAATAATTATTTTTTTTGCCTGGTAAAATGCTGGCACTGAATTTATTGAGTAAGATCCTGTTTTAATACATCCTTACAATATCTAAAAATATTGGATTAAATTTATTGAATTATTTCGTATTAACTTTACATAATATTCTTAATAAAAGACGTTTCATTATTTATGTTGTATAAAATTTCGTTTACTTCTATTTTATGTTTTGTAATGGTAGACTAAGACTGAACATGCTTCTTTTTTTCTTTTCTTTTTTTTTTTTTTAAATATCTTTTTAAAAAAAAAACATAAATTACTTCTAAAAATATCAAATTTTATCATCAATATATTTGTTATGAATAAAAATATAGAGAAAAAATTAAATTAACTTCATGTAGCAATAACATTTTTAAATAAATTTTGCAGTGTAAAAAGAGAATCGGCAAAGAAAATTTTCCAGAAGAAATGTTAAAAAACATCACAAAACATTAAACAAAATTAATTTTCTTGGGAGAGACTTTGTAACATTTGTAATAAGAAAAATTAGAAAAATAGAATTAATAAATTCTTTCTTTTAAATCAAGTAAAATTAAAATCTTATATTTTACTATATGAAGCATGGTAAAAATTCAACATGTTTTTCATTTGTTAGAACCAAATACAGATTCCACAAAAATAAAGTTGATTGTTAGTGCATTTGCTTTGATGAATAAAAATTTTATAGAGAAGAATACTAAATTAGTTTCCAAGTAACAAGACTAAGTTTTCTAAATTATATTTATTTAGTGAATTTCACACAAAAACTGTTTTTACTATGAAAACAATATAATCTAGTAAGTTCAAATAAAATAATTTTTATACTTCAATTAAATAAGCTAAAGTTATTCCAAATGTAAAAATCCAAAATTTCTTAAGCCAACTACCACAAGCCCAAATTGAAACTAAAAATTTTGACTTACAGTAGAATGACATGATTTGAAATAAATAGATTTACCTGTCATCCAGTTCACACTCCTTCTTGGTCTTTTGAATAGGACTAGAGGCTTATCTCTTGTTTCCTTCTCCTAGACTGGCATCCACCAAAGGCTAGAGAACCCAGTCTACTCTTGTGGAGTAATTGGCCATGATTAAGTATAATTGACAAAACACTTAACAAACAAGAATTGGCAAAGTTCTCAAAGTAATACGAAGCAAACAACATATATGTAAGTCAAAACTATGAAAAGTAACAGTTCACAAAGTAAGAATTATGTTCACACACAAAAGGGCTACAATTGAGTGATTGTTCCGATTTCAAGACAACAAAGAACAAAAATATGGCCAAGAAGTGGTCCATTTTTATTGCTTAGGAAGAAATCCCAGCATGCCTCTGTGTAGGATTTGTCTATAAATTTGGAGAGGGGATGTTTTTAGCTGTCATTCTTTTAGATTGGAACTAAAAATTCCACATTTTATTCAATGGCTGGGAAAGAAAGAGATGAACTCCAGTTTTTTCCCAAAGGCATGAGTCCATAAAATGAAAATGAATGCAACAGACTATACCTAAACTTGAACTTGGTTTGCTGATTCCAATTTCTGCACCAATAACCATTACGCTCCCCACACATCTATTAGTGAATATTGCCTGTCAATTTTATGTTGATTTTTATTCAAATTTGGTGATTTCTCTTTTAGGGTGTCTTTGTGCATCATTGTCTTAAGAATGTTTGCTTGTATGAAAAAAAAAAATTGTCAAGTCTTCAAGGAAAATAAAGAATTGTCAGTATAAAATTCTTGTTTTCAATGTCTTCGGTAATTTCTGTCTGAATTTTTGGGATGAGGAATTACCATTATTTAAATTCAGACTTACCATTATTTAAATTCAGACTTACATCTTTATCTTTGTTGTTATCAATGTTTCAGCCATTGTGCCCTTCTTCAAAACTTCCTGAAGGTTACCCATATCTTGGCAGGCACAATGGCTGTGGCATTGATAATGATAACAAAGATGAGGATATTAGTCTGAATAGGGTAAATAATAATTCTTAGTCCTAGAAGGCTGAAACATTGTGATAATAACACCAAAGATGAGGATATTAGTCCAAATAGTTGTTATGGTGACCTATCTACATTAGAATGAACTCTCCCTTCATAAATACTAACCTGCAATACTTCCTAGGTGGGCAGTTAGAACTCAGTGTAACCTGACAGTTCGGACGGACACTTCTATCTGCTGACTAATAACACTCTTATTTTGTATATATGTTCTGTTATTTCAATATATTTGTTTAACCTACCTTCTTCTTTCTGTGTCTTTCTTTCTGGCCCCTAACAGGCCACAACAATAGTGTAAATAATAATTCTTAGTCTTAGAAGGCTGAAATGTTGTGATAATAACAACAAAGATGAGGATATTAGGCTAATTGTTAATAATGTAAATATTCTTTATGAATTCTATTTTTCACCTAATCTTGTTTTAGATTCTGATTCTTATAATTGTAAAATAAATTTTGAAAATTAAATTCTTTTCTAGAGTCCCAGGAGAATTGTGCCTGAATACATCCCCCGACCAGACTATGCAAAGCATCCAGAAGGTAACTGTCAGTTTTTATTATCAATTTTGCTTTTATTCTTGATGGTTTTATTATATTTTACTAGCAATGATACCTAACATTGGGCAGGCTAAACCCTTTTCCTTTCTTTCAGTTTATTGTACTTGTTTCTTCTTTACTTTTCAATCCTTAATCGTGACTTGAACCTGTGACCATTAGATTACTATATCCTCATGTTTGCAAAACCTACATGTACAAATGACTATGAAAATATTTAACCCCATTGAAGTGAAATAATTCTGAAAATTTTGGTAACACCATTTTGTATATGTATATAAATCTCTCAAACTATTTCTGGACAAAAGAAAGGGACCCACCCCACGCAATGCTGGGTATCATTGCAAACATTAAATTTAGTGTAGAAAAGGAATTCTTATTTTTTTCCATATATTCTTGCTGTTCGCAAATATTTGTTTCTTAATTAAATTAAAAAAAATAAAAAAACCTTTTAAACAAATCAAATCCTTTTATTTTTATAAACAATTTACAGAATAAATATTTCAGAAATTGAAATTCAGGTTTGTTAGTTCTTCAAAATACACAACTTCAAAATGTTAACTTTGTTTATTTCCCTTTACCTCCAAATTATCAATTACATGGAAGAAATTCTCTTTTTTGAATAATTAAGAAATTTAATTATAAAATCCATCAACAGAATAATGGCTTATTTATAAAGATCATAGTAGACCAGTTTGAAAATGAATAACAAAAAAAATGGTTATTTTTTAATTTCTAAAGTTCGATATTCAATGAGTGAATGTTGGACAAGATAGCAGATAAGTTTGGTAAATATAAGACCACATTTATCTGATGCTACAGCTTTAAATATTTAAATAAAACTTTGATATTACATAGCATTTAACACTCCTGCTGTTGACATGCATACACATCTTTATGAAATTTACATTGCCTTACACACACATGGGCACACACTTTCAAGACACAGTGAGATGTCAGTCTCTAGCAATAGTGTTATAGACTAGTTCTTAGTGCTGTTTCCAAACCAATATAGATATACTGGTAGTAGAGCCCGGCGTTGCCCGGGGATGTAACAATAAGAGATAGATCAAGTATCGACCATCATAAAGACTGAAAAATTAAATTGACAATGATTATTGTTTAAGGTTGACGGACACGCATGTCTTAATTTGTTTTGTTTTTTGTTTTTTTTTTTTTTTTTACGAATTGGTCAAACAAAAACATTGTTTTTCAATCGTTATGAGTCTACCGATTGAATAGAATTTTATTATAAACAATTGTCTTGTAAATGAAATTTTTAAAGTATTCTGAATGTAAAAATAAAGAAAAAAGTGTGCAAGACAATAAGAAACACTACCTGCCAAAAAAAAAGTGAAGTTTTGTTGAAATCGGTTGAAAAATGTAGGAAATCCGATCCCATATATAAACGAACAACACACACACACACACACACAAACAACCTGGGTTTTATAATAAGTATAACTTGATATGAGTTGTCCCCCTTTCATTCTTGCGATGCCTTTTAATTGTGTTTTCAAATTGATTTCATGCAAAAACAATTGTTTTTCCAATTTTTGTGCAAGGTAATTTTACATAGTCCTGTGAAGTTTTGTTGAAATCGGTTGAAAAATGTAGGAAAATCCAATCCAATATATAAACGTACAGACACACACACACACACACACACACACACGCAACCTGGGTTTTATAATAAGTATGATACTAGCATGCAGTATGAACTGTTTTGTGATGTATTTTAATCTTATTTTGTATTGAGAATACTGTTTAGCTTAGTTTGTACTGCAGAGAATCTGACTGAAACCAAAAAGCCAACACCTGACTATAAAGTCATTTATTTCCAGTAAATGATAATTTCTTATTTTTCCCAAAATGGGCCAGCACAGCCAGACAAAAATGCTATAGAAATGCAGTGGAAAGGGTGTTCAGCATGGAAATAGACTAATAGGAGTATTAGAACTTTCATCTTGTCTTTTTCACTCTGACATAGCTAATACCTTACCAATTTGACCATGGACACAAAGTAGTCAAAGTTAAATCAGTAATGTTTAACTTTTGTGCTCATAAAAAAAAAAGTGTCAAAAAGTCGATAGTTTGGCAATAAATCTTTAGAAAAGGTAAATATTATCATGTGTACTTGGTTCATGTATTTTTATAATCTCATAAATAAACATTGCCGCGGGAGTCAAAAGTGTATACAATAATAGCAGTGTCAAGAGAATAACTTAACTTTTTTTGGCATGAAGGCATTAAATCTAATTACTTTCTTCCTAATCTAATTCCCTATATACTTTTAAACCAGCTAGTAGTGGATATAATAGTGTCTGAATTTCTTAAGAGGAAGAATTTTCAGCAAGAACTAAAAATCTCATCAGAGACTACAACTTAATTTCCAAATAATGTTGCAGAATGTAAAATGAATTGAGCTTTTAAGATTAAAATCTACATGATAAGGATGAAAAGTGAAGTAATCAGAATTCATAATTTAGACAAGCCACTAGTTTTTTTTACTATAAATGTTATATTTAATGGATACACCTGTTTGAATGGAGATTTTCATATATATATATATATATATATATATATATACACTTTGAAAAAAAATCTTACAAAATCCTACTTTGCTATAATGGCTTCCCATAGCCTAATGGTAAGCCACATTTAACTTAATAGTTATTTCCAAGATTGGAAAAAGAGAATACAAGTTTGATTTCTATCAGGTGTTGTATTTTCTTTTGTAGGGCTTCTTGATCTCAATAGACATTAATTTCATTGTTTAAAAAGAAACAGGATGTCTACTCAAACATGTCTACCTAATAAATATAACATAGTGATGTTGGATTAAAAAAAAAATTCATTAATTGCTTTAAAGTTACAAACTGTTGTGACCACTACAACTATCCCCCCTCCCCATTTTTAAAGCTGGGAGTGCCGAAATGCGCCTGCAAGTGTCACAAGTTTACAGTCCAGGATCGTCTGATCGTACCTGAAATTGGGCATAACTCTGTTTTACTACACTACATTAACGCTAATCACATGATCAACTGGAGATACCAGAAATCTATAACTTTTACAAAGCTATCTCTCATAACTAGTAGTACTAAGGGAGTTAACTAAAGATTTCTAACAATTTGTTGGAGTTTTTGTCTTATTTGTCGAATTACTCTACGTTTTGTATTGAAGAAGATTAGATGTGATGTCATGATTCTAACAACTACAATAAAAAGAGCTTCAGTGGCCCTTCATTTTCTACATCCTTTTTCATTATTGATTTTCCTGTTCTATATTTAGAATTTTTTCTTCAACAACTAAGAAAGCATGATTTGCCTCCCTTACTAAAAATTCTTTTTCACTTTATTTTTTTTTATTTTTTTTTTTTTTTTGTCATATTTACTCGTTTTTTTATCTATTTCCTTTAAGGATAATTTTTTTTTTTTTTAGGTGTAATTTATTTTTAACTAAATTTACACGCTATTTTTTCTTTTAACTATTATTCAATATGTAAATAAATATCTTGATTAATTTATTTTAAGAATTTTAATTATGTTATTTCTCTTAGTTTTTAAACAAATTTCTTCCGTTAAGGATAATGTTTTTGGAGTAACTTATTTTAACTAAAATTTACACGTTATGTTTTCTTTTTTAACTAGTATTTAATGTAAATGTCTTTTCTTTTTTTTTTTTTTTTTAAAGTAATTTTAGTTAGATGTTATTTCTCTTAGTTTTTAAATGGAATTTATTAGAGTATCAATCAATATCCCAAATTATTCATACCGTATATAAGGTTTTTGTTTGTTTTTTGTTTTTTTTTGTAAATAGTCTGTCATTTTAATAACTCTATTGTAAACATTTGGTTAAGTGTAGTTAAGAAAAAAAATAAGAATCAAAAGGAAAATTATAAAAAGAGAAAGACTAAACAAATAAGATATAATAAAGAATTTAAAAGGGGAGGAAAAGAAAGAAAAGTAAATTGTAAGACAAGCCAAAATAATAAATTGTTTTTATTTTATTAATATATATATATATATATATATATATATATATATATATATATATATATATATATATATATATATATAGAGAGAGAGAGAGGTTTGTTTTCTTCTCTTCTTCCAAAAAACACCCTGTCTTGGCCACATGTAGGAAGATCAGTACAACCAAGCATACCTGATCTATAACATCGAATAGCCCAAGTGAAGTCTTGATTAGTTGCTGTTTTCTGGGGGAACTTATATAAAGTGCGTCCTAAAGCTAGTAGCAAATTTTATTCTGGGTGCGGGCTGAATACTAATCATATTCGGTCGGGTCACCCATCGAAGAAGTCTGTTGTTTATTTAGACCCAGAACTTCTAGTGACATGGAAGCAAAAACACTGATGACGCACCTAGAGTCGGCTCTTAAAGGGGTATTTTTAACAATTATTTTCTATTTAAAATTTTGTTGTTTTTAGATTTCTCTGCTGTCTGTAATTCATTCTTAACATCAAAATATTTGCAAATATTTAAGATGTTTTTAAAAATTTTATTTTATGAGCATCAGTTGTAGCTTCATTAATCTCCTGAATGCTGTTAATATCTTGATCTTTGAACAGGAATTCCCCTGTCTGAACGCCAGATGAAAGAAACAACGAGTATAAAGATACTAAATGAAGAAGAACAAGAAGGAATGAGAGTAGCATGCAAGGTAAGTTCCTTTCCTTGATTATCTCTAATTTCTTATTGACTATAAACATATTTAGTAAGTACATAGACATTCCACCTCTCTTCACAGGAAGTGAAATTGTATTCTTTTTTTTTTGATGATGGGAACCACTTTTAAGCCAATTGTGCTTTACCAATTAGGCTACAGGAAGCCATCATAACAAAGTTCAGCTACATTTTTAAGAAATTACACTTGTAATAGTTTTTGGGGAAATAAGTAGTAGAGAGACTTTTAGAGTAATATAGGTGAAATAAAATTCATAAATGTATGTTTTTTTTTTTTTTTTTTTTTTTTTTTTTGATTAGGTAAGCTATGTTAAATAATAGTTTAGCAGGCTATTTTTTTAAGGAGAATGGTATCTCAGCTTGGGATTCCTGTGGTTGACCTTTGAGGTTAGATGGAAGACAAAATAAGGAAGTTGATTTTGATTGGCTGAACAAGTGTGGGAATGATAGAGATATAGAAAGATTTTTGTTGTTGGGAGTTGTTTGTTCTACATCAAGAAATGTAGACATGTTGACTTTACTGTCTGAAACGGCTTCCCAATGGAGGGAGAGCAACCCCACTGGCTAGTTAGAAGATGTATACGTAGATGTTAATAAACTAGTTAAGTAAAATTCCCTGTGTTGAAGTTCTTTCATCTCTGAACCCAAACTGACTAGCAATCACCAGCTGAGAGAAGGTGAAAGAGACGAAGACCACCCTCACTGAGGGGCTATACAACATAGGCATTCCTGCCTAATTATTAAACTAATCTGATATGTGTACCTGAATGAAGCAAAGGTTAGAATGAAGAGAACATTGAGCAGGAGATAGAGAGAGCAACAACAGATATTGAGATAGTCCCCCTCCTCCATTTCTCTGATGTTGAGATAAATCATTTTGTTAGCCACTCTTTCTTTTTTTTAATATGTGTCTGAATTGATTCTTTTTTGTTTTCTCTTTTTTTCAGCTTGGGCGTGAAGTGTTGGATATAGCAGCCAGTGCAATAGGAGTTGGTGTGACCACTGATGAGATTGATAGGATTGTTCATGAGGTCAGTGAAAATTTATAACAACTGATAATAGACATAGTAGTCATTATTGTTAGGACATAAAGAATATGGTTAACCATGTCTCACTACTGTGAAACATCACATACCAATTATTTGTGAATTTTGACTAAGGAGCTCAGGCAGAAGGGTTAAAACTGTTCAGGAACACAGGGCTCAAAGGGTTAAAATATTGGTGGCTATCCACATCTTTTGTTTTCAAAATAAACTTTTACAATGATTCTTTTCTTCGGGGGAAATATTTTTGGCACTAATTTATATATCAGAATAATAAAATCTACGATTTGAATAAAAGTGAAATCTATCTTATTTTTTTACATAAATTTTTCAATCATAATGAAAGAAAAATACAAAGAAAAATTTGTACGAATTGGGAAGAAACAAATCAAAACCACCCGAGTTACTTCCCTTCTATTTTTTTTTTTTTAATATGCATACAAGAGGGGGTAATTCTGTATCAACGATTAACTATTTCGGCTGCAGAGGCCCATGAGAGTCAAAATAAATTTGTGCTTTTATGTAGTGTTTATTTTAAGAAATTTTTCATTTTCCTTTATTTCAGGAATTGTTATAAAAAAAAAAAAAATCATATATATATATATACAAACAGAATGTCTCATATCGAGAATATTCCATATTGAACATGAAGAAAAATTAATTATTTTTAATAATATGTAAAAATCTCCACTTTCACCTGAAGACGGTTGCAGACCAGAAACACGTTTTTATAAAAACAAAGTATTTTATTTTTCTCAATACATCCACATTACAACCAAAAACGTTTATGGCACCCCTCTTCTTTTTAATATACTTTTCTCTCGTTGGAACCACTATAACATATTTCTTTTATATATATATATATATATTTTTTTTTAAACTTTTTTTAAAAAACTGATATTTCTACTAATATACTGAATATATATTAGTATAAATATATATATATATATATATATATATATATATTTTTTTTTTTTTTTTTTTTTTTTTTTTTTTATAAAATGACCTATTTTATTTCTACTAATATATCTTCATTCATTGGTATTTATTCATCGTATTTATTAAAAATTCATGTTCATAATATATTGTTTTAAATTTTTTTATTTTTTATAATAAAATGAGCTTATTTTGTATCTACTAATATACTAAAACTCATTTAAATTTTTTTTTATTATAACAGTTTCTGAAGTAAATGAAAATGAGAAATTTCTTAAAATAAACTATATGTAAAAACAAATTTTTTTGACATATATGGGCCTCCACAGCCAAAATTGCTAATCGTTAATACAGAGTTACCTCCTTTGCATGAGATTCTGCAGAATCTTCTAAATTAGTACCTGTAGCACACCTGAGGATGAGCCATGTCTCCTATGGTCCACTTCTCGAAAAAAGTTGGCCATGCCTGGCCTAGAACTCACTGTTACATCTTGCCATTTTATTTACAAAATGACGAAACATTGTTGCCAATCTAATACTTTGCTCAAATTCAAATTTAGGCAGAAAAGTGGAGATATCTCTATCTACATATATATATATGAGAGAGAGAGAGAGAGAGAGAGAGACACACACTCTTTTAAAGTGGCAATGAATATTTTTATGTATTAATCCAACAGATTTTATCACTCCACTAAAAACATTTAAGTTAAAAAAATATATATATATATATATATATATATATATATATATATATATATAGTGTGTGTGTGTAAAAATCAGTTTTCTGTAAACTGTCTCTGTGATGAAATATAACGCCATTGTATTGAAGCATTGTTAAATGTCAAAAAAACCTCCAACCTTTGATGTAAATAAAGATAATGTTGAAACTCATTACTTAAAAGCGTTTTTTCAGAATCACCTCCATCCCATATGTTGGATGTGTGGGTGGTGTAATCTATAGCAGCTTGAAATGAAAAATCAGAGTGCCGAGTTCAAATTCCAGTTGGGTTTGTTGCATTCACTTATGCATAAAATATCCTTGGGAAAGGTATGAATCTCTTTGTACCCCCAGCTATTGGTTAAATAGTGGAACTGGAAAAATTATTGTAATCTTAAAAAAAAAATAATGCAATATTCACTTAGAAAAAATTAATTATTTGTACAATCCAAAATATGCTTCTGATTTAAACAAACCACAAATGATTGATAAGCCATAAAAGCCAAATCAATCAATTCATATATTAAAAAAAACAAAACTTGTTTCTTAAATATATCTTCACATTTTTCTTCTGTTTACCACATTAAAAATATATTTTTTTTTTTCTCTTTCCAGGCTTGTGTAGAACGTGAATGTTACCCATCACCTCTTAACTATTATGAATTTCCAAAATCATGTTGTACGTAAGTATAAATAATATAGTTTTTTTTTGTTTTTTTTTTTTCTTTTACAGATGGCCAAATCAAATGGCACTAAGGCCACAACCTCTTCTTGGTAAATGTTTGACATAGCTTGTCCTCATTTCAGGCACAACTGGTTGTTTCTTATCTTGAATAAGACAAACTACAAATACAAAATTTTTAATATACTCAACATTGTTCAGAAGCTCAAATCTCTTTCATAGTTGTAGTTGTTTGACATTGATTGATGGGGGGTCAGTTTATAACTTTATAACAGTAGAAAATTGATCACCCACTTTATGTTCAGTAGAAAATTCTATTAATACTAGTTGACTCATGTCATCAATTATTACATAGTAATTCAATGTGGGAGATCACTTTATTACTTAATAACAATAGAAAACCGATTCCTCACTTTATGTCCAGTAGAATCTTTTAATATTAGACTCGTGCTGTAACAAATGACATATTGTATCAAGTTTTTTTTTTTTTTTCTATCAGATTCGAGTGTTAGTCTTATTTTGAAATGACTTCTTTATTTGGTTTTCAAGCAGCTAAATGGATAGGTTTAAGTGAAATTTTTTTTTTTTGTTATACTAATTATTTCCTTTGATCTGACAATGCCTTATCTTTATTTTGACAATGACAGCCTGTTCCAAGATGTTTATAAAGTCAAAAAAATGAAAAGACCACTTCCAAGAAAGTGCTGTGTAAAAGAATAATTTGATCAAATATATTTAAAAAGGAAAAAAAAAACGTAAAAAATGCAAATTTGATAAAATATGACATCATTTATTACAGCATGAGTCTAATATTAAAAGATTCTACTGGACATAAAGTGGGGAATCGGTTTTCTATTGTTATTAAGTAATAAACTTATCTCCCACATTGAATTACTACATAATTAATTGATGACATGAGTCAACTAGTACTAATAGAATTTTCTACTGAACGTAAAGTGGGTGATCAATTTTCTACTGTTATAAAGTTATAAACTGACCCCCTATGAATCAGAATGTTAACAACTACAACTCTATGAAAGAGATTTGTTCATGACTTGATTTTGGTCTGTTACCTTCAAAATAGTCTTTGGTATGACGATAAACTACGCCTGGCAGCAAGACCTCTGATTGGGAGATTGAAGGTTTTGAGGAGCTTGGAACCATCTCTTAATTGTTATTGTTCCAAGGATCAGCCTGATCTGAGATGGTAGCACCTGTTAGGTTGTCAGTTATCGACAAATAGTGACCCCTCCCCCAAACAAAAGTAAAACCCTACGAAAGTATAAAAATACATTTTTGGAGTAAAAATACCAGCAATACATTTTTTTTTTATATAAAACAATTACTGTTGCGGATGGGTGTGATGTGCGTTGGAGAGGATTTATCAGAAGGTTTGAAATTGTGTGTGTTCAATAATCTTCCATCCACAACAATTAATACAAGATAGAGAATAATAAAGATTCATAAACATCTTGTTTCAAAACAACAATTGAATTTATTAATATTTGATATACATGCATGCGAACTGAAAAGGTAGGACAGAGTTGTGTCCCTTCGATTAGGTAATAGTTGTACCCGAGTTCATATTAAAAGGAAGTAATATTAAACTGTAATTTAGAAGAATAAAGTTTCTTTAGCATATTTGGAATTGTGTATTGTACAAGTTGGTAAAAGTTCAGAAGAGATTTCAGAGTTCGTACTTGCGTGAATTGGTAATGGTCTTTAACGTCTGACCACAATGGCTAAGACGGGAGTTCTTGAAGATTACATCTTGGTACTTGGTAGCAAGGAATGAGGAGCGCGAGAGAGAGAGATGAATGAAAAGAAACTCAGAGAGCCCACACGTGTTCTGCCTATATAATGGTCGTCTATCATGTCGGAGGCTCCAAGCATATTGAGCGGGAAAACAGATTGGTTGCGTGCAGGCGGTTTGATTGGTCGGAACTGACCAATCAGCAAGCTAGATTGAAGGTGATTGACCAATGAATACTTGTTATATATTTGTAAGATTGTGATGGTAAAAAATTATAACAGGAATAATGCATTTCCTAGCAGGGGTTAACTAGCTTGTTGTGGAAGAGTCCACATTACCAACAATACATATTTATAGTTAAATTACCAACAATACACACATACTAACAAATTGTAGCAACTTCAACCAAATCTGTTTAAAATACTACCAAACAATCAACATGAAAGAACTTTCATGATATTAATCCATATAATATTCTACAATTTCTTAAACTGTATTCCAAATTATAGCTTCAACAAAATCACAACATAAAACACACATTAATTCTGGTAATTATGTCCACGCAAACATGTATATGCACAAAAGCTGAGTATCATCTACCATGTATTCAATTGTGAAAGCAGAATAACATTTTTATTACTTCCAAACTCCCAAGAAAATTAAATTTCAGTATTAAATGCCCCATAAGGAGTTGATTAAACAGACAATCGATCATTAGTTTTTGGAGTAGAAATCTTGTAAGCTAGAAATTTTGAGTTCAATCCTTGCTCGTTACATTCAAAATACTTTTCTAAAATTAATTAATTTTCTAGATTTTATTTCATTGGCATTTGTGCTTTTCTTTGACTTTACTCTGCCATAGATAATGATAATAAGCACTTGACATCAGCAATAATCAACAATGACATTGTAGGAGGTTTGACTGTGCATGTCGTCTTTTTAATCAAAGGATAGGGGAATAGTTTTAATACTACTTAAGATTGTAAAATGTTTTTCTACCTTTTTTTTAAACATGGAGACAAATAGCAAATAAGAGACATGGTATAAACCTAAAAGCCTCAAAAGTTACATGATTCCTGTAGATTCTTTTTTTAAAGAAGCTCGTGTTTTTAATTCAGCAGATACACCCACTTTGATGCAAGCAACTGCATGTCTCCTTTCAAAACTCTGATCTCCAAGTAGCTGCGTGTCTCCCTTGAAAACTCTGACCTCCAAGCAGTTGCAATGACTTGTGACAAATCTATTATTCAATTTGATGTACCAGCCAGAATTCAATTTAAGTCTGATATCCAATTTCTCTCTATTCCTTCTACCTTCATTTCTTTATGTTCAAAAATTGAGACAATCATGAATACTCTGAAAATTGTTCAACTTTTGCAACAGTAACAGCAATAGTGGTGATGGTGGTGGTATAAAAAGATGCCTTGATTTCATCAACTATGGATAGGTGGCAAAAAGACAGTCACAAAATATGGAGGGATCTGTTAAGGCAACTTTAGTTACCAATAGCAATGATTATTTATTTATTTATTTTTTATTTTTTAAAAAAATTTTTTTTAAATGGTTGCTGAAGACATTAGGTTTATAATACCCAGAAATTCATACACAGATGTCTTCATAGACACATGGAACAGTGGATAAAGGTGCTGGTTAGATCCAGTGACAGGACCCAAAGAGTGTGAGTTCAGTTAGTTTAAGTTCAGTTAAGGCAGTAGAGAACTTTCAGAGGGAAATTAACAGGAGATAATTGACATCCATTAAACATGGCACATGGAACTAGAACAGTCTACCCCAGTGAGCGAAATAAAGGGTTCAGTTCGACATTCCAACCACCTGAAGAAGGCTGGAGTGTACAACGGCCAAAACAATAAATATGGTGACAAAGATGAGGACAATAGTCCGAATAATGTAAATGTACATCATACCTCATCTCAGAAATATAGACAGATACTGAATTAGTAATGCAATGTGGGTCTTTTTTGAAATAATGAAATGTATTGTCCATGCTTTACACAAAGGCAAGATCTGATATTTTAGGTGGTTTTATTTTTGTTTCTTTCTCAATAATGAAGTTATTATTTTCATAACATATAGAAAAGTTAACATTTTTCCCCTCAGTTCTTGTACTGATTATAAGAATATAATCTGTATATCCATTTGTTTATACAGATAAAGTGAAAGCTTTACAACTTCAACAGGAATTTAAATAATTAATGGATTTCCTTTTAATCCAATGCTTATGTTAATTTTAGTAGATACACACGTTTGATTAGACGTCCTGTTTTTGGCAAACATGGATAAACATGCCCACAATAAGAGACAGTGTCAAAAAAACGTTTTTTCTCATAACACTTTTCTTTTTGCTTTTTTTCTTTCTTTTTTTTTATAACTATCTTCACTCTTCAGCAGCATTGGTTGTTGTAAAAAGCAATGTTTAGAATTAGAATAAATCTTAAACATATGAAAGGGAATTTATACATTTTTTTTTTGTTCTTGAGAATTTACGACAAAAATATTAAACATTATTAGTTTATTTACAAGAATTTTATAATTACAGCATTGCAAAAACTAATATAATTAGAACAAATGCAATGCAATATTTATCAATGACCAATTCATAAAGAAATGAATGTAAAAACAGTTTTTATTTATAAACATTTACTAAATTAAAAAGTGTGAACCAACTATAAAGAAATCCTCATTATTTGCTATTTTATAAAGTTTAAATCAATTGGCAATTAGCTGATATTTTGCCAAACATTCCACTAAATAATCTAATAATGTTTATTATTTTTGTTGTAAATTCTCAAGTATAAAGAAAATATATAAATTCACTTCCTATGTTTAGGTTTTATTACAATTCTAATCATCACTTTTTAAAAGAATAAACATTGCCAAGGAATGAAAGAAGTTAAAAAAAAAAGAAAAAAAAAGCACTATCATGTGGTTGTTGCATCTTTTTGACACTTCATCTTATTGTGAAGATGTTTGTCCCCCACCATCTTTTATTATTACCATCTACGGTCCTAAATAAGTCATTCCTCTCAGTAGGAATTGAACTTGCATTATCTTGGGAACATCTTTTTAGCTAAATGTGCTAGTACCATTTCTGCCATGGGTGGACCATACAGCAAAATCAATTATTCCCTTTTAAGAATGTACATCTCTTGTTGAAACTTATCAGTGTCTATATTTCCCAGATAGAAGGGAATGTAGGTTCAATTTCTACCAAGAGGTACTCTTTTCTTTTCTTTCTTTTTTTTTTTACTTTTAATTTTCTAGGATGGTAGATGTCAATTTCATGTTTATTTTTTATTTTAAGCATGGAGTATTGCTGCCATATATGGTCTGGAGCCCCTTCTGTTTGCCTCGGGGTTCTTGATAAGATCCAGAGACGGACATACAATGCAATTGGCCCTGATCTGGCATCTCGTCTGCAGTCGCTCTCTCACAAACATGCTGCCACTTCTCTCTGTCTTTTTTATAAATACTTTCATGGTAATTGCTCAGATGAGCTGCTTTCGCTGGTTCCCAGACTTCATGAATTCAAGCGTCCTACGAGGCTGGCATCCCGCTCTCACCCTTTCACTATTGAAACTGTTAAATGTAGCCATCTCTTCTACTCCAATAGCTTCACGTCTCATACCTCTCACCTGTGGAACTCCCTTCCCTATTCCAGTTTCCCTGATAGCTATAATCTCCAACTATTCAAATGTAATGTCAATTGACATCTCCAGTTGCCTTGATCTATCCACTATCCTTCTCCTCATCCTTTCCTCTATCACTCCTATCTGCTCTCGCTCCAAATCCTCTGTAACCCATTGCGTGCTAGTGGCTTCCAGCCTTGCTTGGGGTGAAATGCTTAAAAAAAAAAAAAAACAGCAGTGTCTACTCAGACACGCACTCACTAAAAATAATGTTTCTAATAAAAAGGAAAGTTTAAGTATGTTGATTAGTATGAAGTGATAAAAATTTATGTTCCAAATCTTTTCTGCCCGTCTTGAAAATTAGTTTTAAAATTTTGATATTGGCTTCGGCTTCAGCACAAACTATCTCAACCACTGAGTAGGCCTTATGCATGTTAATGCATATAGGAGTGTGCATACACGTACGTGTTTTGTCAGCAATCCTTCAATAACGTGTGTATTGCTCAAGACCATGGGCAAAAAATGTGTTTCAATCATATATAAAAATGCTTAATATTTGGTCAGATTTGGGGAATTAGGTCAGGTCAAGAACTTTTCAGCACCCTCTATTTTTCAGTCTAACAAAAATGGCCATCAGTAATCTTGTCTGGCTTAATGGATCAGTTCCATGGAAGGTGGGATTTAGATCCAGTGTTGGATGCTAACATTTAGCATCAATGTGTATCCATATGTACACCTGGCATGCGATTTCATCTGCATTAGCACCAGCATGTCTCTACTTATTCATTATGTATCACAGATTTTCTTTCTCCAATGAAGCTCAGTTTCAATGTCTTTGGTCTTAGTTTTCAATGCAATCACTTTTACTCATACAACTGATAGATTTTTTTTCTCTCTGTCATGCAGGCTGGTATTTCAGTTCTGTTGTTCTACATTCTCTATAATGGCATACATTCTTATGGTATTTTTTTGCAAATAGTATATGCAAGGCAAATTCACAGTAATAAGGCAAAAAGTTCACGAAGTAAGAATTGGGGTTGACTCACAAGAGCAAGTTTGAACAAGTGAACATAGTATTCTGACTTAAGACAGACTGGAACCAAGTCAGATGAAATCGATAACCGCCCTATTTTATTGGCGAAGAAAAAAAAATCCCAGCATGCATTTGTGCGCTTTTGCCTATAAAAGAGAAGGGGGAAAGTATTTTGCAGTCATTCCTATTTGGGTTGTAACCAACAATATACACACACACACACACACACACACATAAGAGCACATAGGAATCGTTTATAAATCTAACCCATTTTGCTTTTATTCAATCTTCATCAGAGAATAAGATAATGGAGAAAAAAATTCTGGTATTTTTATTTTTGTATTGATCCTTGTTGGTTAAATAAACTTCATGCATTTGACTAGTCAAGCAGTGTTCGTGTGCATAATCTATCATAATTTTAGTTTGTCTATGCAGGCTGATTTCGATTAAGAAAATATATATATATATATATATATATAATATGCTCTTTGATAATCATCTCTTATTTTCCAAAGAGCATTAATTTTTAAGTTTTTTTTTTTTTGTTTTTTTTTAGCCATGAGTAAATAGTTTTTCCCCCTTTTTATATATATATATATATATATATATATATATATATATGTACACCTGGAATATTTGAATGAGCAAATATCTGTTTAATGTGCATTTATATTCATTTGCTTAATGAAAATGGTTTCTTCTTTTTTAGTTGATAATGTCATACTGATGTCAAGCAAAGTATATTTTGTCCATTAAAATGCCATTAAAAAAAAATGTTAATTTGGCATAAATTTTATCTTTCTCTCTGACTTTTTCAGTTCTGTTAATGAAGTTATTTGTCATGGTATTCCTGATATGCGACCCCTAAAAGATGGGGATATTGTCAATGGTGAGTTGTTACTTCATACTTAACCTCCTTTTCTTATTGTGTTTGTCAAATGGTACCTCACATAATAAATAGCTTCTTTTTTTTAAATACTGTATTATCTGGCTTACAAGATGCTGCAACTCGGAAGACACACCCTAATATTGGAGCGTCCTGAGTATGACGATAAACTACATCCACGTCCTGGGTAAGACGATAAACTACGTCCAACAGCAAGGCCTCTGATAATGTTTTTGAAAAAATAATGTTGCCAGCTGTACGTTTTTGAAAAAATAATATTACCAGTTATACATTTTTGAGGAAAAAAATATTAACAGAAATAGATTTTTTACAAAACAAAAATATTATCAGGAAAAAAAAAAGTTGTCAGCATTAAATGACCCATTGAGGTTGATATGCCATAAAACAAACCAAACCTAATATTGGAAAGAAATTTCTAAGCAAAAAAAAAAGTCATCCTCATACAACACATTCACCATACATCCCTCACATATTGGCGCCATGTATTGTTTACATTAACCACCTTTTATTTGAAGTACTGTGGAATGGCAACATCAATTACATCATTATTTTGTCTTCAAGTTTCACATGCTATTCATTTTAGTTGTTGCCACTGTTGGTAGTCCTCAAGTGATGTGGTTTCTGTTATTTGGTACAGTTCTTTGCAATACTTCTAAATGGGTTTTGTATCATGAATGACATCCATATAAAAAGTCTTGATCTGATGCAGATATTCAAGTAAATGGCTCAAGTTTTCAGGTTAATACTTTGGTTTTTGAGCAATTTGCAGTGTTTAGGGAGTTAAACTGCCTCTGGCACAGCTGATTCTGTGTTCAATTTCTTTTTCTCCTCTACTTAATTTGTTATAATTGATCCATATACCAAGGTTTCTGAAATGTTTAGTATTGACTAATTAGACATCTTTTATGATGGATTCAGGAAGGTGTTTTTATTCCCCTACCATATCATAGTTTCCATTTCAGAAAGGTTTATCTTAACACATGATTAGAGGATGCTGACTTACTGTTCAAGATCATTCTTATCCCAACTATGAATACTTATGTCATCAACATACCCCATTCCACCCCCCACCAAATCATCAGTACATTGGACTTGGGAGGGACAGCACGATCGTTGTCTTCTATTGTTAGATTCATTTAGGATGCTATATATACACACACACACACACACAAAATATGTGGTGCAGTTCAATTTATATTACAACGAATCATTCATAGGAAAAGTAGATTCATTGTAATATATACACACACACACACACACACACACATATATATAATGTAGGGTTGTCCCAGGTAACGCTAAAAAAGTGGTATACCATGGAGAAAAAGGTCCCCAAATTGATAAAAAAAAATTTTAACGTGTAAATGATTGTTAAAATTAAAGAGGAAAGACCAAGGTATTTTTTAATTATTTTTAAAATTTTTTTTTCATTTGCAGCATATTTTAAATTTAGTTTGAAAATCGTTTTTTTTTGTTTTTTTTTTTTAGGTCAAAAATTAGGTAATATTAGCATTAGATTTTTTTTTTTTTTTTTTTTCACTATTTTCAATTGGAAAATACACATTGATTTGGAAAATCTTGCAAAAATCAAGTACTTGTTGGATTTTTATGAAACTTTCAGAACTTATTCACAAATGAATGAAATTATTTTAGAAATGTTTGTCTTTTTGAAAGTTATGGTATAAATATTTTTTTTTTATATATGTTACACCTCCCAAACTTAATTTTATGAAAACTTCAAAAATTTATTTTTGTATCTGGATTTTTTTTTTATTAAATGCACAAGACTCTGAAGATTCTAGATCATCGTTTTTTTTTTTTTTTTTTTTTTTTTTTTTGGTAAAAAACATGAGTAGAATTGTCCAAACTTTTACCTCAATTGTAAACATACAAAACCCAATAAAACTAAGACAATATTTAATTAAAAAGGCTTTTTATGACTTTTCTGAATAACATATACTAAGGTAATTCTTATCTGAAAAAAAAAAATTTGAAGAAAAATGAATTTTTACAATAATTTTTTTTTTTTTTTTTTTTTTTTTTTTTCTATTTTAAATACACAAATGACAAGTCAAATTTTAAAATATATTTTAAAATTAAGTTGCTTTATGCAACCTTATGGAAATGACATATTTTGTTCTCTACTTTTTGAAGATCATAAATTTGAAAGCTTATTAAAATCTGACAACCAGTGATATTTTTAAAATAATTTTTTAATATTCCAAAATTGTATATAAAATCGTCTCCAACGAAAGTATGGATGCACAGCTTTGAAATAATGTCACATGAGGTAGACTTGTTTCTCTTGATAGAAGCAAGTTCTTTTTACTTCAGAAATTTTTCCTCAAATGTAAGGTTAAAAAGATTTGAAACTGAATTTTTTTTTTTAAATTTACTAACCAGGTTCACTTAAAATTAGAACGAATTACATCACTTCTGCGCTACCGTACGATAAATTCACTTGACATAAGTTGTCAATATATTGACACTCATCAATTAACACCCTTCAATCACGCACTCACTTGAAGTACCACGTTGGAAATATCTCTATTAAAAAATTTTCTGCTAAAAAAAGTAAGTAATGTTTCTTTCAAATTACATTAAGTGTACTTTAATCATTCTAAATTTCCTAAGATAACAAAAAAAAAAAGTGTAACTGATTTTTAATTGATTTTTGAACTCAGTTTGATTTTTTTTGTTTACAAACTCGGGCAGAAATGTCCGATAAATCGAATTTACTAATTTTTTTTTTTTTTTTTTTCAAGAAAAACGAATTTTTAAAAATTTATAGGAAGGATTAAAAAATCTGAAAAAATATTCAAAAAATACTTTGGTCTTCCCTCTTTAATTTTAACATAAACATTTACACGTTAAAATTTTTTTATCGATTTGGGGACCTTTTTTCTCCAGGGTATACCACTTTTTTAGCGTTACCAGGGACAAGCCTAATATAATGTAAGAGAGAGAGAGAGGCAGCATATTTTCGTTCAAACCGGTTTGGTTAAATAATTTAGACATATCATGTCAATTATTTTAGATTGTGATCCATTCAAGCCTGCAGATTAATTTCTTGGTAGCATTAGAAAATTAAGAAAAATACCAAAATATTTTCTTTCAAATAGTTTTTATTTTCCCTAGGATCATAACAAAAACTAATCAACATAATATGTCTAAATTATTTAACCAAACCTGTTTGAAATATATATATATATATATATATATTATGGACTCTCCATCGGTTTCGCCATATGAGGATCTGACAACTTAATTGATTCAGTTATGAAATTTTGTGCGATAACCTTAAGTGTACTTAAGACCTGCTAGTGATTTACAAAGGAGGCCGCATATGGAGCAAGAGTTAAGATTGTGGGATGAGATCACTGTTAGATTGGCTGACCTTTTAGATCTTGTTTCTTGAAGACGATTCAGACAGATTGAAAATTGCTGAGTCCGCTAAAACAGGCTGATCTCCATTCTACCCGCTCCAAGGCATTATGAGGTATATTGACAGCTGACAAGTTGCTCTTCAGCTTGTCTTTCTATCTTAGCCATGGGCGTCCTACACACCTGTAGCCCTGATCTAACTAGCTGTACATTAGGATCTTGGGTATCCTGTCATCAGACATTCTCAAGACATGGTCAGTCTACCGTAACTGAGACTGTATGAGAAAAGTTTTAATTCCTCCGATATTACATTTGTTAAACAGGTCTACGTTAGATGTCTTATCTTGAAGGTTAACTGCACAGATGGCATGCAGACAGCTTTTATGGAAAACCTCCAGCTGGTGTATATGGTACTTGTATGGAGCTCATGACTCTGAGCCATACAAAAGGATGGCAAGTACAACAGCTCTGTAAACCCGAATTTCCGTATCCAGTCGAATACCCAGCTCATTCCACAAGTGATGGTGAAGTTTGCCAGAAGTACTGGTAGTCTTAGCAATCCGATGCATGATTTCATCATCTAAAGTTCCACTGTAGTTGACTTTGGTACCAAGATAGGTGAAAGACTTTATATAATTCAAGGCTTTGTCTTCTACTTTCAATGGTCTCTCCGGAAATTTGTAGACTGGTGGTTTATTTATATATATATATATATATATATATATATATATATATATATATATATATATATATAATTAATGGATTTTTTATTCAGCATTTAAAATATACTTAGAAAATGTAATGTAACACTAAAATAGGAGTTACTACTACATAAAAAAACTTTTTTTTTTTTTTACAAATCTTGGATTCAAATGTATGTGAATAATTTACCAACTTTTTTTTTTTTTTTTTTTTCCTTTTGCACCTCTTTTTTTTCACACTTTTTTTGTTCAAAATGAATAAACAGGTTAAATTTGTTTTTGTAAGGAAAAAAGAGCCTATTGTCTTTCATGAAAAAATGTTTGTAATTTTAAAACAGATAAACCCTTTATTAAATAAAATGATTATCTGTATATTTTTTAATGTTTTCATTTTAATTTTTTTTTTTTTTTTTTTTTTTTTTTTTAGAAAATAATTGAGTGACATTGAGGTTTATGTATGTAAATAAATAGAAAATTATTTTTTTTGTTAAAAGTTTGGCATGTATATTAGTTTTGAAACATGCTAAATCAGAACTGATATAGTTCCATATTGTAGTTTAATCTGGACAGACATACACAAAAAATTTACAGCAGTTAACAATTCTTTTCTTTAGATATTTATTTAAATTACTAGTTTACCTGTGCTGTCCAAATTAATGGCATGAAGGAATGTATTACAGTGTAACCTGGATATAAGAGAGATTTTCTCTGGTCTCAAATTAGAGCCCATTCTTACCTAAACAAAATAGACCAAACCGGATATAAGAGACTTCTTCTCCGGTCCCGACAACTCTCTTATATCCGGGTTACACTGTATAAGTAATATGTATTGTAAGTAATTTTTGTTTAATCCATATACAATTTTGTAATTTAAAATACTTTGTTCAATTATTAACAGTAGTGTACAATTTATAAACACCTCAGGAAAGATATCCTTCTTTTTATTCTCATAAATATTTACAACCCAATTTTTTTTTTTTTTTTTTTTTTTACTGCAAAAGTTCCCAAAGCACAATAACAATGCTGTCCCTCCCTCGTTTTTGTTAAATGTCAAAATTCTGAGTGTTGAAATTTGATACAGTTTAGTTGTTACTGTGAATTGTGTCACCTTAGGGAGTGGTTTTCTTTGTAGTTCACCACACCCTCCCTCACCAACTTGTACAAAGAGAGAGAGAGGAAAAGAAGGGGATTGTTTTGTAGTCAGCTTTTTATCTGTGGACTTGAATGGGGTCTTTTGCACACTGCCCCTCAACTGTTACACATACACACAAAAAAAAATACCCCTTATATATATGTGTGATACATTATATTTAAGGATGTTAAAAATTGTAATGAATATTTATTTACATACATGTCACTTTTTTATTTTTTTTTTAAACAGTGAAAAAGATTTTTTTTTTTTTTTTTTTTTTTTTTTAAATTACTCAGTTATTCAAAAAATGTTCTATTGTATTAAGATCTGGAGAGTCTAAGTTCATTCCATTAATCAGATGTCTTTTCAAACTTAACATATGTAATAGGATACTAGAATTTGTTGATCTAACCAAGAAGCCTCCCCCTACATACACACACATATAAAAGAATTCTAATATTTGGTCAGAAAAGTCCTCAACCTGGACCACCTCTCAAAATCTGACCAAACAACAGATTTTTTTTTAAAAGTTCTTAGTCTGGCTGAGAACTTTTCAGTATCATTATGTATATAAAATATATATATCTTTAGTCAAAGTTGACTATGCAAATAACATCTTACTTTTTCAGCCAAGGTAATTATGAGAACGATTTGTTCAAATGTTCACTTTCCAACCTCTTCTCTGTTAACTATTCAGCTAATGTCAAGGTAACTAATAAAAAAACCCACTATTGGTAGAAGTGAGTTCATGCCTTATTTCTGGGACATTATTGCAAAAATGATACAAAAGTCATCTTTCTGGCATTTAACCTTTGTTTATTTCAGTTGATGTAACCGTTTATCACAGGGGTTTCCATGGCGACTTGAATGAGACTTTCTTTGTTGGAAAAGTCAGTGAGGCCAGTAAAGAATTAGTGAAAACAACCTATGAGTGCCTGATGTTGGCCATTAATGAAAGTAAGTCCTCTTTTTCTCTGCCTACCTGTTTGCTAATAATAGTCACCTGTCTTGTTCAGACAGTACAAATGATAAGTAAGACTAATAAATTCTGATAGTTATAAATTAAGTTCCAAGATGAACTTTTCATTATTTTTCTTGCTCAGTTTCTTCATCTCCTGTACATTCAACTGGGTAAACATTAGCCTACCAGATCCCTCAACTTTGCATATAAACCTCCACTAATTACATTTAATATTCCAGTATTATGGAATGAGGCTAGCTACAAGTACTGGTAGTCTATGGCATCTGGGTAAACCAGTACTGCTGACAAAGAAAACTTACTTACACAATTGGATCACCTTGTGAGAATCAAACTCATGATGCCAGAAAACAGTCTGAGCAACAAAAGGTCATTGATAAACATTGTTCTGCAGCAGGTCACACCTCCTAAACTTATTCAGATCAGTGCAGGGTGTCTGGAAGGAGTTTTCTGTCAGGTTAAAAAGCTTCTTTTACCTTCCATCATCTCCATTAGTCATTTTGTTTTCCTCCACTATAGCTTTATTTCATGATCTCTCAATTGGATACAAAAGGTCAATGTTGCTTGTCTTTGATCTCCTTTAGGGCCTGAGTCCAAGGTACTTCTCTTAACCATCAGGTGTTGGAATAACTTACGAAGATGGGACATTTTTGCCTTGTTGACCAAAGTGATTCAAAAATATTTATTTATTTTATCCATCATCATTCTGTTTGCATGACTCAACATCTCTACACTGGATCCCAACAGAGAGAGAGAGAGAGTGATATTTGACAATGTGTTAACTGTTTTAAGAAGATTGACCAGCCAAATATGCTAAATATGATTATGCCAATTGAATCACATCAAGCAATATGGCAGTTTTCTATATAGAAGCAGTGTGTCTGGAAATTGAATTCTTTCTTTTCCTTTTTCTTTGTTTTTTGCACTTCACCCTCCCTCCTCTTCTCTCTCTCTCTCTCTCTCTCTCTCGCCTTCTCTCTCTCTCTCTCTCGCCTTCTCTCCCTCTCTCTCTCTTCTCTCTCTCTCTCTCTCTCTCTTCTCTCTTCTCTCTCATTCTCTCTCTCTTCTCTCTTCTCTCTCATTCTCTCTCTCTTCTCTCTTCTCTCTCATTCTCTCTCTCTTCTCTCTTCTCTCTCTCTCCTTCTCTCTCTTCTCTCTCTCGCTCTTTCTCTCTCTCTCTATCTCTCTCTCTCTCTCTCTCTCTCTCTCTCGCCTTCTCTCTCTCTCTCTCTCTACCTTCCTCTCTCTCTCTCCCTTCCCTCTCTCCTCAACCCTCTCTCCCTCTCTCGCCTTCTCCCTCTCACCCACATCAACAGTTAACTGAATTTTGCTGTCATGACAACCAAGTGGATACTGATAAATGCACGAAAGGCCTTGTCACTCATTTCTAACCCTGATGATTAATTTTAAGTGTATGTAATGGGAGGTGCAAAATTGATTGATTTTGATAAAACTGGCAGTTGTCCAAGTGCATCTACTCTTGAAAGATTAACTTCAGTTTAAATCTGCATTAATCTTGAAACTGTTAAAGTTTTGGGGAAAGTCAATATACAATTTTAAGCTTATATAACACAAAAAAAAACACATGTGCACCAATCAATGCTTGTCAGTCTTAGTCAAAGCTGCTGTGCAGTGGGTTGTGTTTTACTGTGAAAGAAAAAATGGTGCAAGACAGATTGCAAAATTATTCAGAAAAGTGAAAAAGTAGAACAGTTGTTTTCAACATTTAGTTTTGTTTATTGAATTATTTGAGCTGAACTACTTCATTCATTGGAGATGTTTTGTTGGGTTTTCAATTGCTAAATCAATCCTGTTTCAATAGAAATGTAATGATGACTAAGATTTCTTTCCAACTTCAAATCTTTTGCTTTGGGAATATTTTGTTGGTTAGTGCTTGTCTCCTTTGAAAAATTAACATTTTCTGCTAAGAAAAAATAAAAATGATTAAATCATTATCACCTATAAAAAAAATTCTTACAATCTAAAAATATTTTCTACAATAGGTTGATAAGCCATAAAAACAAATCAATCCACCAACTTACTTTTTCTTTTATTTTTCTACTCTTTTTCTTCTCTTTGACTTTTTTGATTTTTTTTTTTTTTTTTTTTTTTCTTTTCTTTTCTTTCAGTGAGGCCAGGTGTGCGTTATCGAGAGATGGGAAATATCATTCAGCAACACGCCCAAGCTCATGGATTCTCTGTGGTTCGAGGGTACTGTGGCCATGGAATCCACCAGTATGAATCAAACCTTCTACCTTATTATTTGTCTTTGATTTTTGGGATCACAAATTTTTAAAGAGTCCAAGATAACATTCATTTTTTTTTTTTTTTTACCATGAGACTATGAAGTTGTGGCTGTAAATGTGTATGTCCAGTCTGGTTCATTGCATTCACTTATGCACACATACCCTTAGGAAAGGCGAAACCAACTGTTGGAGATAAGAGAACGAAGGAAGCAAATTCCAGCTTCATCTGCCATGCCTGTGGAAGAGTGTGTCATGCAAGGATTGGTCTGTTAAGCCACTCCAAACACTGTTCACAAAAGGACAATGTTTGGCCAAAAAGGCCACTACCATTATCTTGTGAGATAAATGGATGTCTACTATAATAGGAGAGGGATTAGTTCTATCAACGAAAAACATTAATTTAGTTGAATGAAGTCTTTTCTGTTGTACGCTCCGGCCTTCTTCAGGTGGTTGGAATGTCAAACTGAACCCTTTATTTCGCTCACTGGGGTAGACTGTTCTAGTTCCACATGTCATATTTAATGGACGTCAGTTATCAGTTATCTCCTGTTAATTCCCCTCCCCAAGTTTTCCACTGTCTTAACCAGGTATTGAACTCACACTCTTTGGGTCCTGTCAATGGATCTAACTAACACCTTTATCCACTGTGCCATGTGTCCTTGAGGACCCAAAGAGAGGGAGTTCAATACCCAGTTAAGGCAGTGGAGAACTTGCTGAGGGGAATTAACAGGAGATAACTGACATCCATTAAACAAGGTACGTGGAACTAGAAACCAGTCTACCCAGTGAGCCCTTGTAAAGGGTTTCAGTTTGATATTCCAACCACCTGAAGAAGGCTGGAGCATACAACGGCCGAAATGTAATAAATATGGCGACAAAGATGAGGACAATAGTCCAAATAATGTAAATAGTGTACATAATGCCTCATCTCAGAAATATAGACAGATACCAAAACTGAAAGTATCCCAAATGTAATTAGCACTTGAGGAAAGCCAAGTGTTATGATTAAAAACAACAAAGATGAAGATACTTGTTTCTATCTAATCATAATGACCACTTGTATGAATGTTGTGTTTCCACAGAGACCCATCTTCAAAATTCAAATTATATCTCTACTCTTTCCTTATGTGATTCTCGTCATTTGATATTGTTTGTTTACACTCAATGAGAAGTAGTAGACATAACAAGATGGAATAAACACTAGTCAACAATGTTGATGTTTGAATATTTGCCTGACTCAAATTCTTTACATTATTTTCTCTTATTATTTTTTCTTCTCTCTTTTCAGATTATTCCACACAGCTCCCAGTGTTCCCCACTATGCAAGTAAGTGTTTTTCTTTGTTTTTTTTTTGTTTTTTTTTTTTTTTTTTTTTTTTTTTTTTTTTTTTTTTTTTTTTTTGTTTTTTTGTTTTTGTTTTTTTTTTGTTTTTTTTTTTTTTTTTTTGTCCTTAAATGTCTGGTGTCTTGTAAGAAAATTAACAAATTATATCAGCAAGACAATTTGTATTTATAAAGTTATGACACATCCACATTGAATTGGAATCAGATTCATGTATCACGGCTGTTTAAAACCCTTGTTTTTTTTCATATAGGAAAATCCAACATGGCACGAAACATTGAAATATTCAGCAAAAAATCTCATTCGTCAGTAACATTTTAAACACCTCATAGAATGTCAAGTTCTTAAAGAAAACCTATGTCAAAGTGTTTTCCTGAATCCTTGATGACTTGGCTGTCCGAAAATGATATCAAGATGAAATAATGGAAACTGACTGTGAAAAAATACATTTATGCATAACAGGTTTTTAGATCAATTAGTAAACTTCTGGACCCTTTTAAATACGACTTTATAGGATCCAGACGGCTATTGTTTGCACATGGAATTATTCACTGGTAATTAATCTTGATTTGGCTGTGGAAAATGTCACTCGGCGGTTAGCATTAAGAAATTATGCCCAATTTTCTGAGAAAAATCCCTTTTTAATGAAAAAAATATTTATTTTAAACTTCAAAATTCATTCCTTTTCTTTTCATTTGGCATGAACATCATTGAATAAAAAGAACATACAAATGGACCGACGATGGAAATACGAAAGATATGTGCGAAAAAAACAATGTCGTCTGCTAAGTGTTGTTGTCATCACCCGGGTCACGGGGTGTTAAAAACAAAACAAAACTCATCAAGCCATTGTTCAAACATAGGTTATATCAAGCCCTAGTCATTGTTAACCCTTTTTTTTTTTTTTCACTCTTTGCTTTTATCTGGGAGTGGTGAGTTTTATTACAACTTGTTCTAAGGTTTGCCGGTTATTGCTGGCTGGCTGACCTTTGACCTAGACGTCAAAGTCAATTAGGTTTAGTTTTCCTTATCGCTATTTTTTTGGGGAAAAAAAAAAACTTTTGGTTTCTGGTGGTTAGGAATTGCAGATAAATCTCTTGCCTTTTACTAAAGATTTCCGTGGCTGGGTGTCAATTTTTTTTTAACCCTTGGCGGTCATAAATTGAAAATTAACAATGGATTCTATTGCATTTTGTTCACCTAGGAATGTTGATTTCCTTCAAAACTCTCAATTTTATGCCTGAAATAGTTTGATTATGATTTAGGCTTTCTGATTATCAAAAAAAAAAAAAAATGGTTAATTTCCTATTAATGAGGGAAATATTTGTTTAGAACAAGAAAAAAAATGCAAAATTTTCACTATTTTTTTCACATTTTACCCACTGAAAAAAAATTTTAAGTCATTTACACCAGCTAATTTTACTTTTAAATGAAAGAATATATCATTTGCTTTCAGAAAATACCTAGTTTCATGGGGTTCAGATTAAAAGTTTCCTTGATATTAGTTTAGATGATAATAAAACGGTCATTTTTCAATATTTTACCTCTATAAAAGTATGAAAATCCATTTTTTGAGAGAAAATAAGCTGTGACAAAATGACTTTTGCCATTTTTGTGATGATTTTCACTTGGGAAAGAAAATTTTTATGATAGGAAACCTGAATTGACTTTATTTAAGTTCAGTGGGGCTATAGGAAACCTCAAACAGCTGTGGTATAATATCAGTACCAAGTTCTTTGTAAGATTTTAAGTTGCAGGTTTAAGTCTTAGAAAATTATTACTTCTGAAATTTTGCTGCCTGGGAGAGAGTGGGCCAGAAAGTTATGCAATGTCTCAGAGGAGGGCCATAATATCAAATGTACTCTAATGAATTGTCTTGACCTCAGACCATTCTGCTCAGAAGGCTGCCCTGGTCTGAAAGTTTAAAGAAAAATCAAGTTAATGTTATATTATTTAAACAAGGTTCCTTATTTTACTGCAGGAATAACATAACAACTAGCACAATCAACAAAAAATGAAAATTATTTACTATGGTTAAATTGGCAGTCCAGACAAAAATCCTTTGCTGGCCGAATGTGGCCCGGAGGACGAGATCTGCCGACCCCTGCTTCAGAATATACTTGACCATTCAAAATAGTCATTACCTATTGTCTGGAGTTTTACAGTTGTTTTACAAAAATCTTTTATGTGTTTTGAACTAAGTGGTTAATGTACTAAATGTAAAAACATTTTGTACTGTCTTTTATTATAATACTTTGATTGCATATTGTTGTAGCATATATATGGATGATAACGGGTATGTCCCCATTCACATAGACACAGTAGTAAATATTGTATGTTGGTCTGCAGTTGGATATTCATTGTGGAATTCACTTGATTCACTTCTAGCATTTGACTATGTGCTGCTGATGAATCTTATATGTGTTGTTCTTGTCCTAAGTATTATTGTTCATTACCAACCTTTGTTTGATTATTCTGTTCAGTAACCTTACCTAGGTTACAACACATAAAACCTTCATTATTTTTTGCCTGTTTAAAAAATCTGCAGATGATCAACCTTACCCCGTCTTTGAGAATATACAGATCACACAGGATACAAGCTCACTCACAAATGAGTCTGCTTGCGTATGCACAGTAAGGTCTCCTTTGATTCATTGCCAAGTTGCGTCAAGTCTGCCAAACCTGTTCTCATCATATTCAGAATGTCTGGATTTCAGAGAAGCGTCATAGTACTATAAAAACATTAGTACAAGAAGTCCTTCCTTTAGAACAAGGGTCAGCAACCTTTTGGAGAGAACAGGTCAGATAGTTAGGCAGTGTCTCAGAAGAGGACCATGATATCAAATGTACTACATTAAATTGTCTCGACCATTTCATCCAGAAGATAGCCTTGGTCTGAAGGTTTAAAGAAAAAACAACAATGGTATATTATTTAAACAAGGTTCCTTATTTTATTGCAGAAATAACAGGATAATAACACAAAGAATGCAAATTCCTTATTATAAAGAAAATACATTTAGAAATGGCAAATTATTTAATGAAACATTTGTTTCTGCTTATTGTTTGATAACTTCTCCACATTAGGTGAAATATTTGTCAATGATAGGAGCAAAACATCATTCATGTTATCATCACCAAACCTTAACGACTCTTGATATATTTCATTTTTGAAAAAAAGTTGTTCACAAGCAAATATACTTCCAAATAATGTTACTATTATTTTTTCATTATTCAGATTTCAATTCTGCTTAACAAAATATATTTCTTGTCGAAGTCAGCAGTGGATTTGGAATTAAATTTTGATTTAAAAAATTTGTCACATTGTTACTTGATTAACTCTGATATTTTTCTGACACTTATTCCATAAATTAATTAGATAATTAGTGTCCAGGTGTTAAGTTGGTGGGTCAGACACAAATCCTTCGCAGGCTAAATGAGGCTAAACACTCATCTAATGAATGCTAATCAAGAAAAATTAGTCACAAAAAAAAAATTTCCCTTTTTTTTTTTTTTTTTAAACATTTTAATATACATAAGAACCATTCTCTTTTAGTAGTACTTGTATCTCTACCCATCTATTAATGAAAATGTTTGGTAAAGGAATTGATTTTGCCAAAGATTATGTTAATGTCTGCTGAATATATAAACATTATCGAACATTGCAGGAAATTTATATCCTGCCATAATAATAAAGTGTGACAAAAGGAGAAATGAAAATAAAATCTTTGATGTCCCTATAGAATGGGTTGATTTTGCATTTTTCTTCAGAAAATCAACATTGCACACTGCGAAATCCAGGATTTGATGTGATAAGTACTGCCACCAAAAATTAAATTCATAGGTTTTACCAATTTTTTGAGCATTTAGGTTTAAGGATCATCTGAAAAAATGTATAGAAATACCTCATTTCCACAGGTTTTTGTTTACAAACTGACTTCCAGATTTTGACTATTTCGAGAATAAATCCAAATAAAGTTGATATCTTTTGTATTAAATATATTAAATGGAAAATATATTCAAACCAGAAATCACCACAGTCAAAATATGTAATTTTTTTTACTGTATTCAATAAGTAAAAACTGCAAAAGATTACAAAAAAGGCAACTCAATGAATTAGATTTGTTAGATCATTTGATAGATGATAATTAATAAAAACAAAAAATAGTTAAGTGTATATAACACTATAATACTGCTGGGCACAAGTGTGTGTGTGTGTGTGTGTAAGAGATTTGCTATTTTTATTGCAAGAGTGCTCAGTATCAGAGCATTTATAGATATAGACAGTAGGAACATAAGAATGAACATGGCATGGTGACTGTCAGTTTCACACTTTAATGCTATCTTCAGACCAAGTGCTTTTAGAGTTTAGATTGTGACTGATCTATCCCACTGTTATTATTTCATAACAAATTCAATATCTCTGTTCATTTTGCATGCTGTGACCCATTGCTAGCCTTTGCTGACTGGATATCTTGTGAGGTTACACTTTAAATATTATATTTATTGGCTTTGTTTAATTTTCATATACACAGCTATAAACCTCTATATATCACCATGCTATGTGAAGATGACCTTTGATGTGAATGATGTCAAAGGTTAGAGAAATACTCTGTTATAATCCCACACTTTTCTCAAATTATTTTCTTTTCTTTCAGAAAATAAAGCAATTGGTGTGATGAAGCCTGGCCATTGTTTTACTATTGAACCAATGATCTCAGAAGGTAGGTGCTTTTATTTTAACAAATCTTCATTTTATAATTGATTCAGATTGCCTTTTGTCTACAAGAAGAGTCTCTAATATTTTAAGATTTGGATCTGTTGAGATAATTTAATTATGTAGGGCTTTCAGATAATATCTGTATAACGTTCAATAAGGATTCTGGCATAATAATCTATTGTTCAGTGAGAATTGCTAATAAATAAATTGATTGGTGCCAGATTGGTTTTGGCAAAAGCTACCAGGTGGTACTATTAGTGGTAGCCATATTTGGCCACATTATGGTTCCAGTATAAAGCCACCAATGAGGCAGACAACTTTACAGATATTAACACTATTTTATTTTTATTCAATCTGACTCCAATGACAGGACTTTTTGGATTGATTTCAGTAAACTTAATGATTTGGAGAGGATTGTTGCATTTAATTGGAGTGAAATTATGGAAGAAAATGAATTATGTCCACAATAAAATTGAAGGTCAAGGTTAACATTATGTCCTTGAGATGATTTATTACTAGAAAGATGAGTAAAAGCAATGTAATTATTAAAGATAGACTGGATTTGAGGAAGACGCAGCCAAACTGAAAAGATTCACCAAGTTGCTTTCCCCAGTTTTATCTAATCAATAGATTTGGTATAAACTTAGAATTGAATGTGATCTCCTTAGACATCATCAGCAGAACAAGAACAGTCTATCCCCGTAGATTAACCATTACAACTCTGTAGGCATACATGTCCGAAAAGACGAAACCAAAATACTGCGCCTAAAAAAAAAAAAATATTAAGTGACACTCAAAATACTGATTTCTTATTTAGTACTAATCTACTATTTTTTTAGTATAAGTTAGTACTCTGTATAAAATTCAGTATTTTTATTAACGTTTGTAGTCATTAATAAAAAATTATTCATTTTTATCAGCTGTATTAGTAGATCTGCAAATTAATACTAATCATAATCATTCATTCTAAAAAAAATTTTTTTTTAGTATTTTTGTTTTTGGCAATTTAAAAAAATTTTCAAAAATACTAAAAAAAATTTTTTGAATGAATGATTATGATTAGTACTGACTAATTTGTGACTAAAAATTGTGCAAATTAGTCATTAGTAAAAAATACCAAAACAGAAATAAAAAATACTGACAAATACTAAAAATTCAGTATTCTGATCACAAAATTAGTAATCCATCATTCATTTGTACATCAATGTCATAAAGTGACAGAAAAACAAGAAAGTCAGAAAGAACCTTTTTATTGTTTAGGACTTTAGGTTTTGTATAAAAAATAGTATTATACATTCGTATAAAAAAAAAAAGAAAAAAAAAGAAAATCAAACCTTTTCTAAATAGAAAATTATGAAGTTAATTTGTATTACAAAAACTAATGAAGAGAAACATCAGAAGCATTATCAGTGGGAAAACTGCTGATTCATTGAGTCAATCAGTTTGTTTATACGAGGAGCTGTTTCTGATAATGTTACTATCATATCATCATCGGCTTTCAGGCAGTTTTTTAAAATTATCAGGTACTTCAATTATTTACCCCCGACTATATAATTTCTTAACCCCCTAGGGGTAAATTTACCCCTGGTTGAGAACATCTGGCCTAGAGGATTGAAGAATTGGTTTGTGGATTTAGTACCAGAAGCTGATCAGTATTTGTTGAGTCTCCCCTGCTTCTTTTTGCATGTGTCATCAAAGTAATCAGAATGGGAAGAAAAAAAGCTTCTGTTCTTCTCTCCCCAAATTTATCTACAATTCTTTGTTTTCTCTTTTACTGTCGAGAGAAATTTTATTTAAATTTATTTTCAAATTGCCTTTTCAATATTTTTTTTTTTTTTTTTTTTTTTATTTGGATTTTCTGTTTTTTCGGTAAATCCTGCAGTTATAAATTTTTTTACAATTTTTCTTTCTCCTTTTCGGCATAGGTACCTGGCGAGATGAGACTTGGCCAGATAGTTGGACTGCTGTTACTCAGGATGGCAAAAGGTCAGCTCAATTTGAGCACACTCTTCTTGTTACAGATACAGGCTGTGAGATTTTGACGAAACGATGGACTAATAAAGATGGTCATCCTCATTTTCTTGACCAGTTGTAAAGAATTTAAAAATACAAAAATTTAAAAACAAAAAAACCCAAAAACACTATACCCAAAAGCTGGATTTTTAAAAAATTTGTTGCTTTAATGGCATCAGCCGAATACTGACTTGTTGATCAGACTAGCTGCCTTCTCTCCGAGATGAAAAGTAAAATTTGGGGCTGTGCAGGCCACCAGTCGATGCACTTTAACCTCTTTTTTTTTTTTTTCTTTTTTTTTTTTTTTTTTTTTTTTTTTTATTGGAACATTCCTGAAACAGTCACAGGAATGGCAAGATTGTTTCAAAAGAAAATATAATTGAAGGAGTCCAAAATTCCATGGAGTTTGTTTTATTTAATTAGACAACTGATTTCCAGTTTCTGCAAAAAAATAGCTTGGAGATATATTATAACAAACAATATGGGGGGGCGGCGGCGGGGGGGGGATGTATGACAAAGTGAAAAAAGTTTACTTGTAATGCATATTGTCCTTTAGGACTTCATCGGATTAAATTTGTTATGTTGGTATGACTGCACATGAACGAGAGATGCTGGAAATTTAAAGTTTTTTTTTTTTTTTTTTTCAGAACTTCTATTATCACAGTGTGGAAAATAGTTAATAACAAAAGTGATGGAAAGAAAAAGAATCTAAATAAAATCGGCTAGATTCTAAAAAAACAAAAAAAAAAAAAACTAAAGAAAAACTTTAAATTCCCAGCATCCTTCGTTTGTGTGCATGCGTAGTTGCACCAACATAACAAATTTAGTCCATTGAAATCCTAAAGGACAAAATGCATCACATAAAAACATTTTCCACTTTGTCATACATTTTTACCTCAATATTGTTATTGACAGATAAAAGTATGTATTGTTATCTCTTGTGTGTGTGTGTGTATATATATATATATATATATATATATATACATACACACACAGATACTACACTTTGATCTTAGTCAAAAAGGCCGAGAAGCAGTATTTATTTATTCATAAACCTACGTGATCTGAAACTGATAAAAATGATCTCGTAGCTGGGTACTGTCCCTGTCCCCAGCTGCGTTGTTAGCATCTGAGGAGGTCTTCCAGATAGGGAAGTGCCATGTAGGTTAAGGTTTCAGTGTGGAATGTTAATTGTTGAGAGATTTTTTTTTATATGAAACCAATTTTTTAATGTTTTTTTTTTTTTTTTAAATTTCTAGTTAGTATGAGTTATCAATATTTGTGTAGTAATTGACCAGAGTTAAGTGTAATTGATAATGTTCTCAAAAAAAAAAAGAAGAAAAATAATGGCAAAATAATAAGTACTTAACAATGCTATGGGGAATTTTCATGGGTATTTTATAGTCATGGAATGCACAAGGAGTTTATTTAATTATCAACTTAGGAATTATGATTCATCAAAAATTCAAATAGGAAAACTCTGAAATTTTCAAGGGTATGACTAGTTTTTTTATTGTAGGTGAAATTACTGAAAAGAAATTTCAAATATTCAACTAGCAAGTAACAAAAACAATTTTTGTGATAAATGAACAGCAACTTGTAATTTGCAAAACAAATTTATTTCCTTTGCATCGACCATGTCAGTAAAAATCTTGTGCCTTTTACAAAAACAAAGACATTTTTGATTGATTTTGTTTTTTACAGTTTATCAACCTTTTGCAGCTTATTTAAAGCCAGAAAATAATTCTAGATTGTAGTATTTTTTTATTTTTTTATTTATTTATTTTTTGAGATAACAATGGTTTAGCGATACAAGTATTATTTATTAACCCATAGCTGAGGGGAGAAGAGGTGGATTCATACCATTCCCAACGATATTGGCATGTAAGTTAATATAACAAATCCATCAGGAATTGGAACATGTCTCTCTGATTAACAATTCCAGGCCATTATCAATTACACCACCCACATATCCAAGATTACAGCACTTGGTATTCCCAAGTGGTCACCTATCTAGGTACTGACCACTTTCAACATTCCTTAACTTTGGTGATTGTATGGGAACCAGTGTTTCAACATGATACGGACATAAGCTGATTTACATTTTAAACTTAGCAAGACGCAGCTACTTTGATAAGATTTACTGGATGAAAACAAGTTTGGCACAAGGTTATTGAGGATTGGTGGTGATATTCTTCCTTGAATGAAAGTAATTTATAATAGTTGTTAGTTGGGTGGGGGTCACACTCACAATCAGTTGATCATCCTTACTCACATTGTGTCTAAGTCTTTTGACCAGGACTTAGACAAAGCTGGTTGAAACAAGCGACTTTCAGGACATACAACCAACCATAATATAGCTGATATATTTACGGTTTCAATTATTTGCACCCCCCACACACACACACCTTCACCTATTTCGACAGTGCTTTGGTCTACCTAATTACAACTGGTTGGTGAGTGAATCTGTACCAGCATTGTTCACAACTTGTTACAGAAACCACAACAATGCCCTGAACTGATTGTTTGTAGTTGGGTTTTATCATTTGATCAGGGAACTTTGGTTTTGGGCCTGCATGCAAAGGCAAAGTTAGTCTCTAAATATTCCACTTTATTGTTTGTCTGCAAACAGAAATGTTTTTAAACCCTTTAATGATATATATATATATAGTTTTAAGGTGTGCTATATTTATGAGATAAAGTGCTCAATATCAGAGATAGAGCGTATATAAATATAACAGCAAACATCGAAGTCAACACTCAAAGGTAACAGGCTGTTTCATGCTGGATGCAATCGTTAGGCTGCCTGACAACACCAACAATTTGTGAATAAAATGGGGCGCAAGTTAAATTTTCATTCCTTACCACCCTCCCTCGGATTATCCAAGCTCCCAATGTAATTAAGTGGGTTATTTACCTTCTGACACTTTCTAGAATGGCTCCTCAATGTCTTGTGAATTTATCCCTAATTTCCAGAGTTCCTTTTCCATTCCTTTTTGCCCCTATTTTGTTACTTGCCACATTCTAGCTACGATATTTTAGTCAAATATATGTAAGCATTGAATTTTAATGAATAATATAGTACAACTTTTCCAAAAATAGTTATGGGGTCGTATTCTAAGGTGTAATTTATTTCTTGTTTTTAGCTTTGGAAACACACGGCTGCATTATGCTCAAGTTGTATTATACACAAGAAAATACAGTAATCATCTCGGTTAGAAAGAAGATCTTGCCCCATGGGACAAACTTTTTTTTTACATCCCTATCACTCTCACTCACACAGCCACACTATGCTCGTAATAGTTGCCAGCTTTTGTAGAAAGCCCAGTCTGTCCTACTACTATTTAACCCATTTGCTGAGGAGAAAATAGATGGATACATACTCTTTTCAAAGAGTATTTGTGTGCAAGTGAATGTAAGAAACTCAACTGGAATGTGAATTCATATCTCCTGATTTCTCATTTTGAGCCACTATCCATTACACCATCCATTTTTATATATATATATATAGAGAGAGAGAGAGGGGTGGGGCGCAGTGAAGTAATGGATTGTGGCTCAGATTGAGGAATTGGAGAGCAAGATTTAAACTAGTCTGGTTCATTACATTCCCTTATGTGCTAATACACTTGGGAAAGGGTACGAATTCATCTCTTCTTCCCCCATCTATGGGTAAATAGTAGGACAGACTGGGTCCTATAGACTTGGGTGGCGACTGTTCTAGGAAGTGGACAACTCTGGATTCAAAACCTGTGGCATGTCATTTGGCGACCTAGTAGCATACTGTGCACCAGTTCTATGTATTCAGCTCTTCAAAAGAAAGTAGGAAATGTGGTTCTTTCAGCATAAGCCTTCACCACTATAATCAAATGATCTGTGTGGGTAGTCTGGCTGTTTGTTCGAAAAACTAAGCTGCTTGATCCTCATACATCAGAAACAACAGGAGAGTCCTCTGTGTGTGTGTGTGTGTGTGTGTGTATGTATGTGTATAAGAAATATACTCTTAAGGTGTGCTATAATTATTGGATGAAATGATCAATATCAGTGATAGAGCATGTGTAAATATAAAAGTAAACATTGATGTCAACACTTAGAGGTGACAGGCTGTTTCATGCTAGATGCAATCATCATGGCCTAATGATTGCGTCTAGCATGAAACAGTCTCTAAGTGCTGACTTCAATGTTTACTTTTTAATATCTCACCACACACACGCTGAACCAAAAGTAGGTGGACAGTAAATGATGACATTTATTTTGAGATTACATACTAATAAAATTAAATTTTAATTGACACACAATGTTATCTAAAATTATTGGATTTACTTTTTGTTCAGCATGATTTCACTAAATTGCAGCCACTTGTCTGGGTCATCATCTCATAAACCATGTGTCAGTCATAGACAATAAGCTTTCAAGCCAATCTATTTCAGAATTTTATATGATAAAGATTTGTGAAATGTTCAATTCTGCTGAGGCTCTTCTGTTAGACTTTCTGGGACTGAAAAAAATGCTTCAGCAACAAGTTGTTGTGATCCTCTGCGCAAACTGTTCTGGGTCGACTAATTTGGGGGGCATTAAGAATTGAGCCAATGGCATCAAACTTGTCACAAATGCAGTAAATGGTTTGTCTCATTGGGGCTTGAGTACCAAATGTTTTAAGCCTTTTTTCTTTTTCTAAAGGCTGCAGTATTCTGAGACTTCTACTACTTTTTAGCAGCCATTTTCTTGCATCAGCATTTAAGTTATTTGCCATTATGGCTTCCCTGAACTATCGGAAAAGAAAAAGATTAAATAAATTTAGTTATAAAATTTAACACAAACTCCATTCAACCCACAGTCCATCTACTCCAGTTCACCCCCTGTATATTTTTTTTTTAAAAAGTAGTGGGTAGCACAACACATCCAGTATTGAAGGCCACCAGAATTTTGGCCACTTTACCTGTTAATTGTAGAAAGAAAAATGTTGGCACTAAAGATATCAAGAAGATTCCACTCAGGTCATGCCATCCTTTTGTATGGTTGGAATTGGTCAGATGAAATATAGGTTACATGTTTGTAGAAGAATCTTTATCTAGAAGTGTCAGAAAGCCCTAAGGTAATGTCTCAAAAAGCAATCAGAATCACTCAATTTACAGCCATCCAATGAAAGACTATAACGAACTAGGGATCAGGAAAATAAAAAGTTTTTAAAGCAGTCTCTAATCTATGCTCGATTCATGATGCGTACAATTGGCCAAGAGTGAAATCGATTTGCATGTTCTCAATGCTGACCTCGTCCAGTGGGGAGGTTTGCTTTTTATCTAAACAGCCTGGAATATTTTGCCGACAAGGTAAGTCACCATTTTCTTATGTACATTCTCTAATTAACATTAAAACAAAAAAGAAAACCAGAATCGTCAATAAAATTGAAAGAAGTTCAAATTATAAGCTTTCTCCATTCTTTTAACTAAATGAAAAACATGAAGCAACCAATATTGGTGCCATGACTGGTATCATTCAATTCTGATCTTGTGTGAAAGACGCATCGTGAGTAATTACAATCTCTGATTTGACATCTGTCTATATTTCTGAGATGAGGTATTATGTGCACTATTTACATTCGGGACTATTGTCCTCATCTTTGTGCATATATTTATTACGTTTACGACTGTTTATGCTCTGGCCTTCTTCAGGTGGTTTGGAATATCGAACTGAACCCTTTATTTTTTGCTCAATGGGGTGGACTGTTCTGGAATCGTGTCATGTCTAATGGATGTCGGTTATTAGTTATCTCCTGTTAATTCCCCTCTCCAAGTTCTCCACTGCCATAACTAGGTATTGAATTCACACTCTTTGGGTCCTGTCACTGGATCTAACTAACACCTTTATCCACTGTGCCATGTGTCCTCAAGATAAAATGGATAAAAAATAAAAAGGATGCCCACGCATTTTATTTGATAACTACCAGCTTTTTTAGTTTGTATAACAATAATCCTATCTGTTGACTCAATACACATTAATGGATCAATATCCCTATTAAACTTACTATTAATAACTTAGTTTATTGAGTTTAGGAGAAGGACAACTCTGAACTCAGTACCCCAGGTGGACTGTTTGAGGAGCCCTTGGCACTGTTCTCTGTATTTGGCTATTCTGAAAAGTGTGGTTGGGTCTGTACCAGCCTTCACCACTATAAACAGATCATATGTGCAGGTCGTATGAGGGTTCAATTCTAGTATATCACCTCACTCAATCCATAGATCCATGGCAACCAAACATAGTCTATAACGGTTCATGAACTCAGATCATGAGGAGGAATTGAGCATATGCACTAAAAATTGAAAAAGAAACATCCAAGACTTGTGAATAGGGCTGGCCAAATTTTGCTGCATGACAATGCACAGGCTGCATGCTTCTCAATTCAACTGTCCAAAAGCTGGACAGCCTGAATTATGAAATTTTGCCTCATCCTCCATATTCACCTCTTATCTCTCCTTCTGATTATAACTTATTTAAATTTGAACTGTTTATCACATCAAATGATGAGGATTTTTTTTAAAGATGACATCAAGAATTTAGAGGTACATTGGAGAACAATCATTCATCAACAGGGTGTCTATTTCAATGAAATAAATTATTTAACATTTCAGAAGCATTTTATTAATTTTCTATGAAGCACCTCATTTCATGTGTGATAACCTTACATACATACATACATACACACACACACACACACACACACAGTACATAATATTAGATCTAAAAAAAAATTAAAAGCTCTACATGTGAAATTTTTATCTTTTTATATGAGTATTGAGCACGTTTTTTAATGCTGCTGTTTCCTGGACTAATTCAATTCCTGACCATTAACTTCTTCATATATATATATATATATATATATATATATATATACCTCTGTCTGTCGACATAACTTTTGTGCCTTTGTATACATAGTAGTATGTAGTTTGCTAATATCTATTTATTTTCTTTACATAACTTTATCTCTCTCTCTCTCTATATATATATATATATATATAAAAATATATATATATATATATATATATATATATATAAAAAGTTTATTTATAGAATGTCATTTCCAGACAGTAGTGT